GTTGTCCCAGCAGCCACCTGTCTAACGAAGCACTTAAAGAGGCCCTGTGGAGTTTTCATGTAAACAAATAAAAGTCATGTTTCCATTTTTTGTTTTACCTAAACAAATTGTGCGTGTCCTTGAGGTCTAACTAACACGGTGAGTGCACCCCTTTTTGCTCTGTGTTCCGGTAACAGTTGAGCAAGCCTCGGTGAGAACCTTTCTCCTTTGGTGTATTTAGATATGCTATGTACTAGGCTGTGTGTGTTAAAAAGCCCACATTCCCAGCACTGAATTTACATGCAGCAGCAACTGGCAAACGCAAGGCTTTAGGTAATGTCTGTTTGCAGAAGGATGTTTCAGCCTTGATCCACATGATAGGGTCTGATTATTAAGTAGGTCTGCGCTCCGTCTGACACACAATTGAGCTTCAGTGACGTAACCTCGCCCAAAGCGACCTCATAGGATAACTACACACTTAAATTCTGCTAGAACCCCTCCCTCCCCAGCATACTGAAAACATGCAACAGAGGAGTGAGGGGCAGCGACTGAAGGGGGGACTTGAGGCAACACAGTGTGTGACACGGAGGGTCAGGAGACACAGCCACTGACTGATCCCCGCTCAGTGCAGCGTGGGCAGAGACGTAGAATGGTAGCAGCTGCTATCAGACGTGTGTGTCTGTCACTAGAAGCACATGTGTGTCCTTATTGAGACAGTCATTGTGTGGGTACCTGTTGTTGTAGATGAACAGCTCTATTATGAGAGGTGTGTGTGTGTGTGTGTGTGTGTGTGTGTGTGTGTGTGTGTGTGTGTGTCAGTAAATAGATGCAGCCCTGCTGTTTGTTGTTGTAGGTGTTACTGTGTGTCAGCCCTAAATATCTTAAGCTCCTAATATAGAACAGTTATCAGCAGGACTGTGTGTTGTGTTTACTGCCACTGCAGACAAATAAGCACTGATCAGTCTCGCTAATGCTACCTGCAGTTACAGTATGTGAGAGAGGCACAGACTGGGGCGTTCATCACGGTAAGGGAGGGGCCAGTGAATTTAGCTGAACAGAACTTTCAGATCCAAGCAGACACATACTGGCTCATTATGAGCTGAACAAGCTGTTATTTATACACTTTTTATTGGAGAAATCCCCTCCAATCAACATCACATGACTACAAGAGTCTGGCGTTACTTGTACTGTGGAAAAATCTACTTCAGCTTTGTTTGGCCCAGCTGCAGCAGTGTCGCAAAGTCTTGTTTGGCCTGTTCTCAGGACGTCACCTCTTTTCATCCCACTACAGTTTGCAGATAGAATTAGCTCACCTAGTACTGCAGTGGCCCGGGTTTGATTCCGGTCCGTAGCCCTCTGCTGCACATTGTCCTCTCTCTCTCTCTCTCTCTCTCTCTCTCTCTCTCTCTCTCTCTCTCTCTCTCCCCCTTAACTGTCTGTCTTGGCTGTCGCTATCAAATAAAGGCATAAAAAGCCACAAAAATACGTTACACATATATTTTTATACACAATCCAATTGTATGTACAATTTGATGATTTAAGATTTTCAATTTTATTTCTTTCTTCTATCTTTTAAATGATTAAATAATAATTTAATACAATTTTAAGGCTTTAACTGAAGGTTTAACTAACAATTATTTTTATACATACATTTTTTATTGATCATCATTTTATTGATTAAAGAACCCTGCACACTGTCAATCTCTTGTACCAACATGTCTGTCATTTTTTAAAATTATTTAATTATTAACTTATCAGATTAGTTGTCAATTAATTTTCCGTCCATCAACTTATCAATGACTCTACCATTTTAATGATGTGTCTGCCTTATAGCAGTCACTTCTGTTTAAAGACATGGAAGACGTGTTTGTCATCAACCCACAGAGCAGCAACAGGAGCTCTGATTGGCTGGTTGTTCCGTGGCGGCAGGAGTTATGTGTGGGGTCAGATCAATCATAGGTCCATAAAACAACCAAGTTTTGGACTGATCTTTGTGGCACACTTCAGCCTCCATACAGTTAGAGCTGCAACCATTAGTCGATTATTAAATGAAGCGACACCTACTTTGTTAATCGACGAATCGTTGCCGTGTTTTTCTGAATTCAAAACTCAAATGTGAATATTTTCTGCTTTCTTCAGTCCTCTATGACAGTAAACTCAATATCTGTGATTGGGGACTAAAGACATTTGAGGACATCAGCTTCTGGACCAAACAACTAATTGATTAATAATGAAAATAATTATTTGCATCCCTACATTCAGCGGCACTAGCCTTTTTTTTTTAACGAATCCTGTCTTCTCTCCACCAGCCGTCGCGAACCCTCTTCACCTCCTGGCGGCCCACGCCTCGGCCTCGGCGTCCCTCCCCACCAAGAGGCAGAACGGAGAACTGCAAGACCAGCCCGGATCAAAGAGGGTGAAAACGGAGGGGGAAGAGGGAGATGACGCAGCCAAAAACAACAACAACAACAACAACAACACCGCCAACAACAACGGCACCACGGACAGAGCCGGAGAGCCGGTCAGTGAACGGATCGGTGACAAGTAGCCTCCCCACCCGGTCCGCCTCCTGACCCCCTGCTCTCCTGTACGCATTGAGCCTCACCCCCTTCCTCACTCTCACCCCTCCATCCTGCCCAGTTATCATCTACTCCAAGGTGCCAAAAAAAGAGAAGAGACGCGGAAAACACCTGCGGGACTACAGAATGTTCAAAACCTCTTCCCCAACCTCTCTCCCCCCCCACCCCCAATCCTTCTTCCATATATTTAAGACCACGAAATAAGATGCAAAAACTTAAAAAGACCAAATTGAAAAACGGAGTCAAAGAGTTGCTGACGACTGTGAATCCCCAGAAGTTCGAGACCCAGACGGCAAGAAGAAGCACAGGAAGAAAAAAAATCCACATTTCCAGATCAGAAATGACTTATGGGACAAGCGAGGAGTCCCGGCACTCCCTCGGAAGACGGAAAGGAGCCTCATCCTGGTAGCATTACAGACAAGCGCTTAACTGTGTCGGGTAGAAAAAGCAACCAAGTGAAATCACCAGTAGTGTATTCCGCAAAGGGAAGCGTGTGTACGTACGTGTGGACATTCCCATCTTCGGCAGCTAGCCTCCATGTCGACCTACCTAACCCAGTCGTGAGTAGATATGCAGTATTCTGTTGTACAAGTGTATCTTTGGATCTTTTTTGAGTGTTTCTCCGTTTCCCAAGGCACAGATACTATCTAGTAATAATTAAGATAACTAAAAGCTATAAGTGGGGTCTTTAAGAACATTTAAACATCACAACATTTTGGGAATGTTTTTTTCTTTCCTTCCGTTGTTTTTGTACGTGGACTCTTTGTTCAGTGAAATGAATGTAGTCTCCTTTCCTTTTTAAAGAAAACACTATCTATGGAGTGGATGTTCTGTTATTTTTCTGCTCATTCATGCAAAAGAAATTTCTTTATCACTGCACATCTACAGATTTTTTCATATTTTACAAATATCCTATGAGATAAAAAAGTATATTCCCATGCGTATTTGACCATATGCTTTATCGAGCTTGCATGTTACGGATCTAGAGACAATGTACTTGATGCAGATTATCTGAATATGGAACTGAAGAAAATTTAGACTGAATCTACGCTATATGATTCTGACCAGTGCTGCACTTAACCCTCTTAGTTGTTTTGTTTTTTTTGTTTTCCTTTTGTATTTTCATTTGCTCTGTTTCTTTTCTCCCCCCTGTCATCACGGCTGTTTGTTACCTTTTGTGTTGAAGTTGGCAGTCTCTTTGCTTGATTAATTTTATTCTGTTCAGGCTACTAAACAGTCTATTCAGATTGTATTCTATGTTACACGAGGAAAAACAAGTGATAGGTGTTTGTTCTGCTTCAGTGGGTAAATGCTTTTTTTATAAATTTATTTAAAACACATAACCTCTTAGTTTGTATTTCTTTGAGTAAAAGCCACAAACTCTGTTCTGTCTGTGAAGAATTCTTTTTGTCACAACGAGGAAGGGTTATCTGACTTTCAGCATGCATTCCACACAGGTCGGTCAGGCTGGAGGAAGTCGCTGTACCACAGGGGTGGAAATGCTTCCTTTGAACACCATCAGCTTCCTTTAGGAACAAATACAGCTTGACTCACTTATTCCCATTATTAGAGCTGTTGAATGGAAGGACTAAAGGGGTTCAGTAAGCTTTAAACCTACTGGTTTCATACCAAGGATGTACCAGTTGGACTCTTCCTCTCCTGATACTGTGTTGTGTATCAGGCTGTTGCTCAGTCTGACTGTGCTCTGCCTACGATAGAACACTGATGTTACTGCTTTATGGAACATTTGATTGGCTGTATCAAATCACAACAGTATTCCAGAGAATGAATGCAAATCTAGAGGGTGCTAACAATGGATGTCCTGATCAAGTTTTTATGCTCCAATCTGAGTCACTTAAAGGTCCAGGGTGTAACATTTAGGAAGATTTATTGGCAGAAATATAATATTCATAGGTATGTTAGTGTACAATCATCTAAATATAAGAATAGTTGTTTTTGTTAATTTAGAATGAGCTGTTCATTGCAGTAAAACTAGAACACTCAAAATGAGTAATCCCAACAAAACTACCAGCCACTCCTGATGTCAGCCTGTCACGCAATAACGAGCACTTTCATTGGACGTTCTTTGATGATTTAAGGATTACACTGTAGCCCGATTAGCTGCAGCTGGCTGAGGTGATGTACTGGACCAGTTCTAAAACTTGTTCTACCCATTAAAGCAAAGGATTGGGGTTAGGTTTATGCTCAGTAAAGCTGATACATTGATTGGCCATGATACCAATATCTTTGAGATAGGTTCGGGACAACAGTGCCAACATGAAACTACAAAATATAAAAAAAAAAAATAATTTCCTCTTAGAGATTTACAGCTATGCTATGCATGCTGGAGCATTTCATTTCAGTTGGACTTTAAGACACTCTAAAATGTTTATGGGGCCCTTAAGTACAACACTGACCGTATAAAAGGTACGAGACAGCCCATAAAGTTTAACTGTAAAAGCAGATGTTACATTTTATTCACAAATTTTAATGCAGGTTTTTACAATCATTCTGAGTGTGTCAGAAACAAGTTGGCTTTTCAGTTTGTGCAGCGTCCCTACTGTGGTCGGTGACCGCCGAGTGCGGTGTACGTTCAACAGAGTGACACCTGCAGTTGTACAATCCGATGCAGAAAGCAACACAAATGAAATGTGTTTTTGCACTGAATCAACAAAAAAATGCTGTCAATTAACATGACATATGAACAAAACGGTAAGATTGAATTTTACATTAACACAGTTCTACTTATCCCTATGTGGTGGATCCACACTGAACAGATCTTCCTGTTTATGGCCGCGGGCTTCTACAAAGCACTTCAGAGTCCCTGATTTGCATTAGCTGAACTTATCAACGCTGTTAGGGGCCACGGTGAAGCGGTTTACGGAGATATACCAACACAAGACATAAATGACACTCAAAATTACGAGTGTTGTCAGGATTTAAACACAAAGTAGCACACCACTGAACCAATCAACCTTCAGAAGATTTCTCATTCAACTGTACTGGGCTAATAACCAATTAACACTCAACATAAAGCGCAGTCTTCAACCGTTTTCAAAATAATTCCAATTATTTCAATATTCAAATATTTTTACAGTTGATGTGGACTGCGGAGTAGAAACAAACAATCTCATCCAAAAGATTTTTAAGATCTGTAAGATTTTTGTGATTTAAGATGGAAACGTGTGTGTGTGTGTGTGTGTGTGTGTGTGTGTGTGTGTACGTGTGTGTGTGTGTGTGTGTGTGTGTGTGTGTGTGTGTGTGTGTGTGTGTGTGTGTGTGTGTGTGTGTGTGTGTGTGTGTGTGTGTGTGTGTGTGTTTGGTTCTTAAGATTTCTTGTTCAGGTAGGAACAACAAACCCAACTTTAATAAACTTACAGAAACAGTTTAACATTTTGGGAAATACACTTTCTTGCTGTGAGCTAAGAAGGTTGAAAATCGCTACCACTGCAGGGTCAGCAGGGTAAATATAAAGCTGAAGCTAGCACCTGGTTAGCTTAGCTTAGGATAAAGATTGGAAACATGGGGAAAAAGTTAGCCTGGCGCTTCCAAATGAACGCGTTATATCTTATTTGTTTAATCCATACAAAACTCAAAGTGTAGAAACTAAAATAGTCGACAAAGTACCCCCCGTGCGCGTACACTTCTGTTTGGTTCGGTACAGACTGCAACAAGAACTAGCATGTAAGTGCTGTAAGTGAAATCTGCATTTTGGCTCATTTCCTGTCCGTTGTTGCAGTTAGCGCTCCCCTCATCACCACACTGAAATCCTGCTGCCGGCCCTGGAGGCTATGTAACACAAAAAATATAGCTTACAGCGCCTTTCATTTCACAGCTAGACTTTGTTGCCATTGGAGAGAGCCAGGCTAGCTGTTAATGCCAAGCTAAGCTAACCGGCTGCTAGCTGTAACCTCATATGTAGCATACAGGCATGAGAGTGGTCTTAATGTTCTCCTCTAACTCTCAGCAAGACAGCAAATAACCGTATTTCCCAAAAAACTATTTCTTTAAGCTTTCTTGGTCACGTGGAAACAAACTCAACTTTCATAAGTGCTTAACAAAAAACAATTAGGGGAAACATATTGCACAATGTGAGAAAAAGGAAAAAAAGTGTTCAATTCTTCTGCTGCTACTATTCTGTACAGTTTTATGTAGTTACAAGTTCAGTCTGGCGCGTTGTGTTTATACAGTGAATATAAGAAAATCTAGTAATACTAAGGTGACGCTTTACAATGCAGGATCAGTCAGTTCCACGTGGTACGATGAAGCTCAAAGACAGAAGGGGGAAAAACCTTTCTGATCCTGCTCTGTAAACACCTAATATGGTACATTGGTATATACACAAACACACATATGTATATATGACAACAGTGCACACATACAGATTCTCTCCTGTCTCGAGGCACTCCCTATAGTTAGGTTAGGTGGTGTTAGTTGACAAAAATCTCAATATTTTCATTCCGTCTAACTATCAGAATCATCTTTCTGATTAAAAATAGCCATCCTTTGTAAATTCCTCGGAAGACGTCTTAAAAAGCGGCATTGTTGTCCATTCAAAAAAATAACTTTCCCTCTTTTCTCTAGTGTTTGCTTTGGGAGTCAAGTGGGCACCCGTGTCCCCTCTGTCCAGAGACAATCCCCAGGAGTCTGTGAGAGACAAAAGTCTGCGTCTCTGTCTGTGCTTCCACGCGTTCGTCATTGCTGCGAGGGTTTCCCCGAGTCTGTGTTTCTCTTCCTTTGTCCTCCCTTCATCTGATGCTCTTTCACAGAGTCTGTCAAGATAAGCAGAAACAAGGGACCTCTCCTGCCTCCTCCAACGTTAAAAAAAAAAAAAAAAGGGAGAAGAAGGGGAGAAAAAAAAAAAACAGGCTGTGTAATAGCGAGTCTCCGGAGGGGTCAAAGGTCATATTTTCTCATCGGTCATCTCCAGGAACTGGGCGTACACATCTCTGGAACACTCCCCTTTCTGGTTGAACAGGAACTTGTAGTAGCTGCCGTCAGCACAAATGGCTGCATGGTGGAGGGAGAGAAACGAGTCAGCAAACTGAGGCCACACACAGACAACCTGTGGGCATTTTATGTTACAGTGCGTGCTGCTGAGAGAGCGACGTTGTTAACGCATGTTTTTGGGTGACCCTAAAATGACCAACAGTGACTGGCAATGTCACCATCCACACCTCCTCTCTTTGCCCCCACTGTAACAAAAACACTGCGTCTGCTAGGTAACGATACACTCAACTCACAACTCCATACAATTCATGATACTGGTCAGTTGTACTGGTGCGATACAGTCAGGCACCCCTGATGCATGGATTATTGTGTGGAAGTAGAATATGAACAGTATTGATATTTGGCGTCTGCACTATGTTGGCCTCATTGATGGCTGTTTCTACACAGCTTTGTCTGCGGGATCAAGAATGGGAATTTCATTTTCCGACATAGCTGAGAAGCTACCTAGCTGACAACATAAGAAATGACAGCATAGAAATGATGAAAGTCATGACTGATGCAGCTCGACTTACAGAACATATTTCAACACATTTCTTTGATCAGTGAGTTACTTGTTACTTAGAGAACTCAATATCAAGTTGGGAATAATCTTACTGTTCCTCTTCGTTTTCTCATCTGAGTAAGTAGGATTGTGTTTCTTGCGCTGACCTAGCAGTCAACAGTTAATGTACAGTATTATCACTGATAGAAATGATGGCCAAAAACTACCAAAATAAAAGCCAAGAGAGAGGTGATCCTTTAAATACCATAGTACAGATATCCCATGACCTGCAGCGATCCTGATAATGTCAACCAACATACAGAGCGACCCATGAGTCTCCTGTAAAGTCCCTCTGACTCTGTGACAAGATGAGACAGCCTTGTATCCTGAAAAGCTGTGCGCTGTGAACTGAGCTCACCTATGACAGCATTGGGCTCGGTTCCAAAGGCACACACACAGGGAGAGCCTGAGGGGACCTGGAACTTGGAGAAGCTCCACTTGGAGCTGAAGTATTTGGGGAGAAAGCTGGCTGAAGCCAAACTGCAGAGAGGACACAAACAGAACACAGGCTCCAATATCAACATTTAGGTTTTCTTTATATTTATCTTAATCCAGATAAAGACAAGAGTTCATTATCATGCAGTAGACAGATAACTTATATAAAAAGCCTTCAGCAGAGACTGACCTCGACTGTTTGTTCCTTTTGGGGTCCTCTGCAGCAAAGATGTGCACTGTGCCGTGGTCACTGGACACGCAGATGAGGGAAGCATCCTGGTTGAAATTAATGCTGAAAAAGACAGAGCAAATGGAATGATGAGAACAATACAACCACAAGCTTTCATGAGCTCAGTCACGTACTGATAACCCATGTGTCCATTCTGAGAGGGTCAACTTGGTAAATAACAACAAAAAACTGGAATGGAAATAGAAAGATTGGGTTGTTAACTGAACTGATGTGTGGACCGTGACTGAAGTCTAATGGGAAATATAGACCCTAAAGCTAGACCATGTGGGAACCACTGATACGGTGCAGCAGATTCTAGCCCCATCACCCATAAAACCTGCCCCTCTCAATCTCACACACTTTGAATATGGTTGTAAAACATGCAGTGTTGCATCAACTTTTAATGAGGTCACCATATAAAGACTTCCTTTAGTGTCATTACATCATCCACACTCTCACAGTGACTCTGCAAGGAAGTGATCTGACACACCTTACAGAGAACTGAAGAGGAGATGGAGAAATGCAACTCTTAGTCACAGTGCAGCCGGTGCAGCCGCAACTCGTCAATATGAGTGTGCTCGAGGCTTTGAAGAGCAAGTGGTGCAAATGAGACGACAATGTCTGGAAGAGCTGTCTGCACACAGCCTGCTTTGTCTTTGTGTTGTAAAGTAGAAGAATTGTTTTTGAACAATTCTGCAGATGTTTTCAGCAATCTTCTACATCAGCATCAGTTTTATCTTGCTATGTTGTTCATTTAATGTCATGCACAGGAACTGTTGCAATGTTATAAAGTAAAGATGTGATCAGCATTAATGCTCAATGCTCACCAGTAAATGTTCGCCGTCTGAGAGCCTCGTCTTAGCTCCTGTATGAGCTGACCTGCAGATGTGTCGAAAATTCTAATGAGAGTCCCCTGTGGAAACAACACGGGTTAGTCGCAAGTCAGCAACCACAGAAGAAGTGTTCAAACATGCAGTATTGTTTTTTTTGTTGTCAGTTCACTTTTGCTCTAGGTTGACTTACTTTCTCTGATGCAGTAGCTATTCTCGTGCCCTGCAGGTTTAGAGCGATGCAGCATAGCGCCCCCTCATGGGCAGGAATATCAACAGGGGGCTTCTCTGTGTTGGCCAGGTCCACTATCTGCACGTGGCCCGAGTGGGTCCCGGGGAACGCCAACAGAGAGTTGTTGCTGTTGGGACACAGCACACACAGACCTGCGGAGGACGAGGGAAACACTTGGTCACAATGTACAGCTGTGTCACATTTATACTGACTCTTTATGGCTGCAGCATTCAATAGGAAGCTTTGAAAATTTAAGACTAGACTAGACTGCAACTTAAAATAAAAAAAATGTGGGTCTAAAAGATTCTTAGGGCTGCAACTAATGATTATTTTCATTATCTATTAAATTGTTGATTATTTTCTCAATTAATCGATTAGTTGCTGTCCAGAAAATGTTAGTGTTTCTCAAAGCCCAAGGTGAAGTCCTCAAATGTCAAATGAAAATATTCACATCTGAGAAGCTGAAATCAGAATTTGGAAATGAATACATCAATAATGTGTGATCATGAGAATTATCAGCATATTGTACTCAGCTTCTAGTGTGTGTTTTTAAACTACCTTCCTAATCAAATGCAATGTGCTTGTTATTAATGACTCCTGATGAAACATAGTTTGGAGACCAGACAGACTCGTTGTGAAAGATCTTGTAGTGTGGGACCTCCTGGTGATCAGTCACCGCAGTGAAAACAACAATAACTTCGAGACTCCCGATTACAAGACAGATGGTTGTGTAGTGTGAACAGTACAGTGATCTTACTCTGATACAGTCATGTAGTGTAACCAGTGTGTAGAGCAGAACACACTGATTTCAAGTCAGTAAAGTTTAAACAGAGTGGACTGACCTTTGGGGTTGTAGCAGGTCTCAAACACATGCAGCTGATGGGGGTTGTGGGTAAAGGTGAAGACTTTGATCATTGAGTCCAGGACCACCACAATCCTAAGAACAAAACACACTAAAATCTTAACTTAATGTCCAAAAATCTACTCTCATAGCATTCAAGTGTACTATTAATCTGACACCTCCAGGGATGAAAAGAGCTCAACTCACAACGAATGGGAGAATCAATAGATACCAAGCAAAGTACTGGTATGGCTGCTTCATTACCTCAGTACTGCTGTGTGATTAAGTCCAGAAACATTTGTGAAAGAGCGTTGTATGTCTGACACAAAGCTGTGCCTTAAGATGAACCTCCCATCTGCTCATTGATATATTACAACACTTCTTTTGCAACACCAATGATGAAATAAATTCCATCGACAAAATGACAGAAGACAATCCCTGAACAGCTTTAAAAGTTGCTTTCAAGTCCATTTCAGCCTTCAGGGTGGGACTTTTAGTTTTACCTGTCGCGCCGAAGTTTCACTGCTTTGACTTCTGTTGAGAACTCAATCTCAATAACGGTCTTCTTCTTCAGGTCATCCCAGATCATCACTAGAGTGCCAAAAAGGAAGAATATTCAACACAGTGACATAAGTAAAATGGGCCAAGTGGGGTGCTAATTCCTGCAGGGTTCACCAAGTACAAAATCTTTTAATACTACATAGACAGCAATTTGATACCGGTGTCACAATCATACTGGCCAAAAGTGTGCTAGTATAATGGTAATCCAGTAGGGATAATATGACCTAGAACATAGCTTATTTTATTATTCAAAAATAACTCCATATGATGTAATTAATTGAATTAACACATGGATGGATTAGCTGACAAAAAGATTACATTATTGCTCAAATTAACTCCCATTATGAGCTTTGTAGCGACTTTGGCTGCAGTAGGGAGAGTGTTTGCTGCAGGTCTGATGGTGCTGACTGAAACGCTACAAACAAGCATTGAACAGCCTCCTGTAACACAATCCACTGTCACAATAACCCCACTTTTAGTTTATGGGTGTGTAACGGCTGCCAAAGGCCTGTAATCACATACACAAACATTTTTATAGGTAACATCACTGCCTACTGCAGGCAACAGAAAACTTTCTTTACTTTTTAGAAATTTAATTAAAGTCTTTTTATTTTCTTATGTTGTCTTTTTTGAGGAACTTCACCAATTTTTAAAACTTTACAAGACCATCATTTGTCAGAAAAGAGGCCTGGCAGAAGTCCACTGCAAACAATACTGCTGGCATTGTAAAAAAGAAACAAAAAAATGCAATCCATCAACAAACCAAAACATACCTTTGTTGGTTGGGTACTTGGGTTTCTTTCCTCCTCCCACGAGGGCTAAATAGTTACACCTGAACAGCATCTCCACGTGGCCGACCCCGCCCTCCAGGAACTCTGAAAGTCAACGTCATCGGTGGTGAACGTCAATAAGAACAAGTACAACTGTTAATTACTGGAAGAAAAGAATGGGCCCCTTATCATCACAGCTGACTGTGCTTCTAACATCTGCATACTGCTTACTCATCTCTAATGGCTCAGCTCCCCACAACAGAGCCACAGTGAGAAAATCCTCTGCATTCCACACAATGAGAACCCACCCCCAGCACACATAACATCAGCAGGACAGAGGACTGCTGTAAAGGCCTCATCAAACAACTGCACATGGATAAAATAGAAAAAGACCACACTTGGTCCTGTGTGTGAGTACTTGGTCAGCTCCTGACCTCTAGCAGTTCACTCCTTAGAGTTAGAGAAGTAACGTTTGGAGGCGGTCATGTGCCAAGTCATGTGGGAGGAACTTCCTCTTGTATCCCTTCAGATTTAATGAGTTGCAATTCTGCCTCAATGCTTTGTTCCTGCAGCAGAAGTGGCTGGTTAGGATTATTTTTCTGCAGTCGTAAGCCAAATAGCTTTGAGCGAGGACTTAAAATTAGTTGTCAACCACGGAGCCTTCCTCTATTGTCACAGTTTGTGGTGGAAAGGAACCGTTTAACAAATTGTCTGCAATGTCAATTTGTCATTAATTTGCCAATCCATGTTTTTCCTTCATGATATTTTTACTTAAATGAGTGGTTCCCAACCTTTTTCCTTGAGGGACACCTTTTCTATAATTTAGTAAACAGACCCCTGACTAAGTGACATATTATATGGATATTTCATGTTGTATTAAAAACTGTACAATTGATCCAAATAATGAACTCAGTAACTGCAAGAAGTTTGTGTAAAAAGAGTGATTAGGATGTATTTTGAGCGGATTTTTTTTAACAAATCATACATAGCGAATAAGCTTCTTTTTTGACTAATTCAGTGTTTTGTTGTCCCTGACAGTTGGCCATTGTTCTATCAGACAATTTACTAACCCAGGTTGGGAACCACTGGTTTCAAACAAGGGACATGTCTATTTTTACAATACTATCACAGTAGATTTGGTATTTGTATCACACATTAAGCACAAAGAAACCTAAAGTAACAAAAAAAATGATGCCATCGCACACACACACACACACACACACACACACACACACACACACACCACACACACCTTGTCATTGTTCAACAAAAATAAAATGTAAAAGATTAAACATAATGGTACTGCACCACTTATAGTATTTTCTGGAGGGAATAAATACAATAAGACTAAACATCCAGGGCACCAAAAACAAAGTCCTTCTCATTCCTGTATCAACAGAAAGGGCTGGAGCCAACAAATAAACGACATCAGGTAGAACAATGAACTTGACTGCCATCAGCTAAATCATACTGTAAATGTGACTCCTTGATAAAAATGTGGCAGATTGGTTTTTCACGGCCTGGTGCAGCTGCAGAGGAAGGATTGGAAAAAGGAGCAGCATCCTCAGTAGATGAATTGATTGTGTTTTATGGCAAAGCAGTAGAGGTGTGAAGTCAACTGACAGAAGATAAATCAGCAAGTATTTTGTTAATTGATTAATTATTTAATAAAGCCAAAAAACCCTAGTTCTAGCTTCTCATATACTGCTTTTTTTGCTTTATATTACTGTAAACTTTAGGTTTTAAGACTGTTGGCCAGAAAATACAAGACATATGACACCACTTTGGGCTCTGGGAAACTGCAACTGGCTTTTTTCACTATATTCTGACATTTAATGGACTAAACTGTTATTGGATGGATTGAGAAAATAAAAAAACTGACAACAGAACCAACTGTTGGTTGTCCACATCATGTGCTCTGACAATTCAACTTTAAATGGGCTTAGAATTACATCAGTTCATTCGGGGAAAAGATTTACCTATAATCAGTGTCACGATATTTACATGTAGTGTGTTTAGTTTGAAAATTGTGGCTCTATTTTCCTCTCATAGTCTAGCCCGACAGAAATGAGGTAACACCAGGGAAACTTATATTTATACTTGGTTCATGCTCTGCCTTCTTGTTCCATTACTCCCTGTTTAAAAAAGGACCATTGTCTTGTTCGGTAGATGCATTTTGCTAACCTCACTGACAAGCACATTGGATTTCCTGTGACTACTTCACAATACAGGTTACCTTGTGTTTCACCAGTTGCTTTTGTGAAGCTAAAGTGGTGAGAAATGTACTCTGTAACATAACACTGCATTTTTACTGCAATAAAAGTAGCTGACTGCATTTAAATGAGAAGTTGGCTGTTTGGCTGGGAGCTGGCGCGCATGGAAAGCTCTGCACCGGGTATTAAATGATTTAATAATGCAGGCATTTCGAGGAAGACGCTGTGCCGTCTTATCACATAAGACGTCTGGATGAGAAAACGCACTACTAGTTCACCAGTCCAGTAGAAAAAAAGGATTTTTAAAAACAATTAAAAGACAAATGCGGTACAGTGGTATGCTGGTTCGAATGGTGTTCACACCAAAAATAACCACTCAAGTCAGCCGTTCACACTGACCTAAACAAACCACACCAAGGGGGTAAACACACCAGGGTTCAGTTCAACCAGCCTGATCAAAGCGACAATCAATATGTCGCAACTTTCAGTGAAAATGCATGTAGGTATACACTCTTCTAATAAAATGTGGGGCAACCATAAAACATATTCTTGCAATTATAAACATTAATGTCTGCAGAGCTTGTTACCTTGTTTCTCCTTCTCCTTAAGAGGATCTGTGTTGTAGACACGGAATCCATTCTCCATTCCACAGGCAAAGCATCCTAGAGAGACAGAAGAAGAAGCAGCCGTCAGAAACTGATCACTAACGAAAGATGACGGCAATCAACACTTGTTATCACATCAGGAGCTTTTCACAGTTATCTTTCACCATGTAATCACCCTAACACCCTCAACCTTTACAGTAATGACAACACTCAACATAACGACACTGGGGTGCTCATTTCAGCTGGACCAACTGGCCCTAGTGCAGTGATAAAAGACAAACACAGAGCTGACACAGAGCATAGGACAAATTATTAACCTCTGGAGGAATTCATATAAAAGTGACACACCGTTGACACATGACAGTGATGTTGAGTGCCATAGCTATTCTCTGTGGGGTCACAAGAGGTTAGGTTAGCTTAGCTTACTTTACTTTACACTACCATCACCTCTGACAAAGCTACCTTGCACCACTAATCTCATTATGTTGCAGTTAAGTTAGACCAAATAAAAAGAATACTTAAACTTCACGGCCTGTGTAAATGTGTGTGGGTGGGGAGCGAAGACAACACTCAACAACAGTCCTGAGTGTTACAATGTACAGAACACGGATTCACAAAAACATATACATTTACCTAACGTTACATTTGAACACTGGCAACCTAATAAAAGGACTGGGGTTAAATTAAACGCAGCAAACACAACAATAATCCAATAATGCGACAATAACTGTCAAATTTAGCTTAGCCGGCTAACGCTAGCGGTTACTCCGTTGTAACGTTAGTAACGCACGGCTCGTGTCATGGTCGATGGAAATTCAGCTTTTAGTTAACGTTAGCTAGTTCACCTAGCTGCATATACATTGTTCTTATTGAGTGCTTAAACTTAACACAGATGTTTGTATCCAACCTAACGACCCATGTCACGTTGACCTAACATTAGCTGGTTGGCTGACTTAAGTGTTATCTATAACTGACAACAAAAAAGCTAAGTTCATGTTAGCAGTAGCTGGCTAGCTACGTCAGCTAGCTACTGCTAAAGCTAACATTAACTTAATGTTCGGTACTTTGAGTTAACGCTTGAAAACGGCGCAGCAGTATTATCGGTAGATACCGTCAAGCATATAAAATATAAGTTTTATTTTGTTGTTAAACAGTTCCATGGTAAATATATGCTCTGGGAAGACATCTGTTTAGCAACGTTAGCTTAGCATCAACGACGTTGCCAATTTCCATTTGGGAGGATAAAAAACACATGTCATACCATGATCCTGGTTAAATCCAGCATAAAGGAGCCCATTCCCGTGAGGATTAGACGGTAGTAAATTCATTATTTTAACAGAACAACCGAATGCCAGATAACAGGTTAATCCAAAAGCTGCTGCCTGAACAGCTAACCGGCTACCATTCCTCCAGAGTCTGCTGGGCAGAAAGAAGGAAAACAACGGAGGCTGGTTCCTGCTTGTAGAGAGCTGTCACCACTCAAGATCAAAGGGAGTTTTCGTTCAACTTTGATAACGTATAAAAAAAAAAATATCTGACGCTAAAATAATCTCATAATCATCTGCATTAATGGTATTAACTAAAAGTAAACACGTATCAGTGCTTGTGAGAAGAGCACTGATCAAAGACGAGTTTTAATCACCACCTAACTGCGACTTCAGCAGCCGTTATCCATTATTTGATTACGGATCTGATGTGGTTACTGACGTGGCATATCGACATCAATGACCCAAACACACACTAAATGTAGCTAACGTTAGATTACTAGTAGATTGAAATATGGGGGGTGACGTTGAGATCTATGAGATCATGTACTGTATTTAATGAGACGCTACATTACATTCATTTATCTAGCCCCAGTGGCCTAATGGATAAGGCACTGGCCTCCTAAGCCAGGGATTGTGGGTTCGAGTCCCATCTGGGGTGAAACGTTTTTGAGGTTTCAGTGATTAAAAGCTGCTGAATTTGTGAATAAAATATGTTGTAAATATACGGAAAATAACCACCGCAATGGATTTCTGTTAGTGTCATTTATACAATAGATATGAAGTACAAATGCTTCATCCAGTACTATACGGTCAATTAGGCAACATTACATTATTCATTTGGTGCTGCAATAACTTCACAGAATCAGTTGAATGAGTGATATAGGGATAGCTTTGTAATGAAGTTTGACACAATCTGTGGTTGATGAAATAAATGTATAAAAGGTATAGAAATGTATGCAGTGACCATGTTCAGCTGATGAAATTGACTTTTAAATAGCATGTCTCTCATATTGTACTGTTTAGTTTTTATTTATGTTTCCACTGTTATATCTTTTCAACATGTTTTGGCAGGAAAACCAAAGGTGTGCCTAATAACAGTAATGGTTGCTGTGTTCCAATAGTGCCCTAGAAAGCAATGCATTTGAGGCAGCGTGCACAAGACTCACTGGCAACCATAACGTAATACAGCCATTATTAATGCAATTCATTACACGTGCCACGTGGGTAATATCTGTTATTCTGAGTAAAATAGGCTGTTAAAAAGAGAAACCCTGACATTAAATATCCTGTTGTCTGCTGGTCATGGGGCAGTTGCAGTTCCTCTACTGTTCTGGAGAATAGCTTACACCAAGTACAAGCAATCTATTGGTTGAGTATCACAATTTTAAGCAACACTATTAGACATTTGTTCACTAAACAGGCTAAAAAGGTTTAAACAGGTTAGATTTACTTTTAAAAACCATTATGAATGCAATCTAATACCTATTTTACATCCATAATGATTTTTTTTTTTAAAGTATGAAGGATATGAAGGAATACCGCTTTTGGTTCCACATTGGTTTAGTTTTGTAGTTGTTACAGCATGAGCAAAAAACATTTCCTTAAAACACATTTAAAAGCGAGACTGAAAAATTGTAACATTAACGCCATTATTTACAATCAAGAGACCACGCTTCAAACTAAATGGCTACACCGGACAAAATCCCATATTCCTTCCTGTAAAAGTCTATTTAGTGGTTACCATAAACTGTGGAAACGTGGACGTTCTGCTGCCTCCCTGCATGAAATCCAGCCCAAAGTTCTGTCAACAACAAACCCTGTGCAAGCAACACCAATGTTCAAAATCACATGAACGACCTCAGGAGCAAACAAAATGACACTTGTTCAAATGTTCCATTTATTCAAGAAAAAGACATGAATTCCTCAAGGAACCATGGTTTGTATCATTTGAACATACAAATCTTATGTAGAACTACAGCAAACATTTCTGTAAAAAATACAAAGATACATTTTTATAATTCATTATACAGTTACACAGTTTGACAGTCCGAGCTGCGACAGCCACAGAGATAGTGTGACTGACATTGTAAGGTCCTTCAACATCCATGCTGCTGAAGTGTCCTAGAGCAAGGTCGAATCAAATTCCTCAAGTTCAGGTCTACAGCTGTTGTTAACCTCTGTCTTCCTTCAGTAGGGGAATGCTGAACAGAACATCCCCATTGGAGTAAGAATCATACTAACATTAACTATGCATGAACAAGTCTCCTGTGTCTTTTTAGGCCATGCAAGCTTGTAAAGCCCCTGGTACACACTGTACAAACATATGGTCTCTCTCCTGTGTGGGTTCGCATGTGTAAAGTCAGAAAGCAAGACTGGACAAAACCCTTTTCACAGACGTTGCACTTAAATGGTCTTTCCCCAGTATGGTACCTCCTGTGTATCTTCAGTTCTGCAGCCGATCTGAAAGACTTGTCGCAGTCGTCGCACTTGAAAGGCCTTTCGCCCGTGTGAATCAAAGTGTGCCTCACCAAAGCGTCTTTACCAAAGAATCCCTTTCCACAGTGCTCACACGGGAAACGCAGCCCTTTGTGGTGGAAGTTGTCGTGTTTCAGAAGGCATCTTCTGGAAGTGAAGGTCTTCCCGCACTGAGCGCAGGTGAAGGTTGGCGTAGGTTTCTCGGATACGGGTTCGCCGGTGTGATGCACGCGCTCCACGTGCCGCGTCAGTGTCACGCCATGCCGGAATTTCTTGCCACATTCCCAGCAGAGGAATGGATACGCTTTAGTGTGTTTTTTCTGGTGCTCCACGAGGTCGGAGTACGACCGGAATCTTTTACTGCAGTGAGGGCACTGAAATGGTTGGTAGCCGGTGTGTTTCCACTCGTGTCTGATGAAACGCTTCAAACTGGCAAAAGTTGTCTGACAGTGGGTGCAGGTAAAAGGCTCCGTGGGATTATGGACGTCAATGTAGTGCTTGTGAAGGGCCTTGAACACAGGGAAATTCTCCACACACTGGTTGCACTGAAATGGAGTGTGGGATTCCTTGTGCATTGCCAGCGCCTCTGGGTCACGTACCAGTTTCATGCACACCTCACAGTACAGCGGGTTGTGAGTTTGTTTGTGTGAATCCAACGTTGATTTGTACTTGAATGCTTTGTCACATTCATCGCACCTGAAACAGTGCTTCACATCCTCGGGCTGCTCAGGATCCACCTGTTGCTCAGTGTAGCAAATGTTTCTCAGATGGAACCTGAACGTTTGTTTGCACTTAAACTCGACGCTGCAGTGAGGACAGTAGAACGGCCCTTCTATCACACTTTTGTTTCCTTCAGGGCTTTTCTGCCCCAAATCTTTGGAAGATCTCTCTGCAGGGGGCGAGTAATCGGGGTCTTGGACTGTGTTGTCTAACGGCTGATCTTCGCTGGTTGCCTCACAAGGAACCCCGCTGGATGATTGTTCACCCTCCTCTGCTGCAGTGTCTTGCTCCTTTGCTTTCCGGCCAGCCTTTGCTTTCGTCATGTTTGGACATCTGTGTTGTTGCAAGTAACGCAAGCTCTTATAAAACCTTTTACAGGAAGGACAAGAGAAGGGCAGCTCCTCTGAGTGTCGATTCATGTGGCGCTCCAAGAACTTGGCACGACTCACCACCTTGCCGCACACTTTGCATGTTCTCTCGTCCAAGTCATTGCTTTTGGCTGAAGTCTGGGATCTGGCAAACTTTTTAGGGCTGCTGTTGGCAGTATTACTGCCCTGTGTCTTTCCCGATTTCCTCCACTGCGACAGATAGCGTTTCATCTTGAGTCCGCGGTTCTTTCGGACGGGTCTATCCCACACGCTCTCAAATTCTGAATCGTCTTGTTTGCCTCTCGCTCTGGTTTGCACTTCAAAGTCTTCATCTACAGGGCGTTTCTTTTTCCTCCCGCGTCTGTTTGGCTTCTTCTCCGTGCTGTCGAGCACCGTCACCTGGCCGTCCTCCCCGATGATCAGCGTTCCAGACTGGTCGTCCTGCTGGTCCTCTGCTACTTCACTCTCGCTGGCCTCAGCGCCTTCTACGGGATCTGTAACTACTACACTGTCCATTTCTGCTTTCACCTCGCTGCCAAGACCAAACCACTGGGTTTGTGCACAATCTTCAGATGTGCCAGTTCCCTCCATGTACACCTCTTTGTTCTCAGATTCCACCTCCATCTCTGTGCAGACTGTATACACGAGTCCACTCTCCGCATCTGTTTCCGCTTGTTCATTAACAATCACAACTCTTTCCACAGGAGGGAGACACAGGGCTGACAAGATGCCGCTGTCAACAATGTAAGATTCTGAAAAGAGAAGAGGTCACAAGAACTGTCAAATTGACACAAACAGATTTGGATTGTTCTGATGGATGTTACTTGCAAATCTACAATACCACTTTTGCAATAGTGTTTGGTTTCTGTAAGAAACCATAAAGTGTTGAATATCTGTTTTATTCTGTGAACAATTCACTGAAATTATGAGCTTACCTATGTCTTCTAACTGGCTGAGGTCTTTCTGAGTGCCCAGCAAGGTTTTGAGCTCCTGAGGTTGAGAGAAACTCTCCATGCATTCATTCAGAACAGACGAGGTGTCGCTGAGCAGAGATGCAATCTGATAAAGACACAATGAAAAGTAATGTGAGGCAACAGCACCGAATCCTAATGTGAGGTGAAATTTGTTATATACACATATGAATATGAAGCAACGCATAAAAAAACATCCCACATTTTTACGTTTCACAACACTGGAATAACAACCTAAGTTACAAGTTATAAAAACAGATATGGACTTTGACACAGACTTTGTGTATGGCAATTGGACACAAAAAAACACAAGCACAAAACTTGATAGTGATGTGTACCTGCTGGAGAGTTTGGGTGGGGAGAAGCTTTTCGAGTCTGGACAGAAACAGCCACATCAATGTCTGGATTGCTTTGTCATATGTGGGGCCAAAGTCTCCTGGGAAAACATCCTGGAACATAAAGTAATTCATACGTGTCAAATACCTGAGCAGTCCATACAAACCATGCATTTTTAAGTACAGGGCAAACAGCAGTACATCATAAAACAAAGGACTTACCTGGAAAAAGTTTCTTCTCTCTTCAGGATCTCGAAGCAGATTTTGGACAAGGCCCATGAAATGTGAGTCAGAGGCCTCTTGTTCGACATTAGCAGTCTGCAATAAAAGATTGTGTGTAAAGTGTCACTTTAGAGTATTATAATGCCATACTCTGTTATATATAGCAGGTGACTGAAATAAGAAAGAAAACAGCTAAAAGCCAACCCCTGGGTCCGTACAAACAGTGTCATAAACAAATGTAAAACCCCAACCTCAAAAGAACCACACCATTTACTTAGTGTTGACTGCAGGTTTGGACTCACCTCCACTTTCCATAGGGATCTGAGGTTCTGCATTCGGTCAAGATGTGGCTGAATAATCTGGAGGTCAGCAGTCTCCTCAGAGCGACATAACTCCAGGATCAGCTAGAATAAGAGAACAGCAGCAATAATGAAGCAGTGATTCTGCAGTGTAGAGCTGAATATCAGCCTGCTGTTCTGTTCCCATTCACTGGGTCTAAATAACCTTCTGCACGTTGTGACTGGTTTTACAACATCTCAATGCTTCAGTTATATAAAGTCCCACCATTATATGCATTATATTTCCTCATGCTAATGCAAAACAGTGGGTCTGTGACAGCCTCCTGACTGACATCTTGTTATAAATACAGTGGTGTGAGAAAGTGTTTGCCCCATTCCCGAGTTCTTATTTTTTTTGCATGTTTGTCACACTTAAATGTTTCAGATCATCAAACAAATTTAAATATTAGACAAAGATAACACTAAACATAAAATGCAGTTTTTAAAATGAAGGTTTTTATTATTAAGGGGGGAAGAAATCTAAACCGGCTGACCAAAATTACCCCAAGAGCGCAGCGACAACTCATCCAAGAGATCACAGAAGACCCCACAACAACATCCAAAGAAGTGCAGGCCTCACTTGCCTCAGTTAAGGTCAGTGTTCATGACTCCACCATAAGAAAGAGACTGGGCAAAAATGGCCTGCATGGCAGAGTTCCAAGACGAAAACCACTGCTGAGCAAAAAGGACATAAAGGCTCGTCTCAGTTTTGCCAGAAAACATCTTGATGATGCCTAAGACATTTGGGAAAATAGTCTGTGGACTGACGATACAAAAGCTGAACTTTTTGGAAGGTGTGCATCCCGTTACATCTGGCGTAAAACTAACGCAGCATTTCAGAAAAAGAACATCATACCAACAGTAAAATATGGTGGTGGTAGTGTGATGGTCTGGGGCTCTTTTGCTGCTTCAGGACCTGGAAGACTTGCTGTGGTATATGGAACCATGAATTCTGCTCTCTACCAGAAAATCCTGAAGGAGAATGTTCTCTTTGTGACCTCAAGCTGAAGCGCACTTGGGTTCTGCAGCAGGACAATGATCCTAAACACACCAGCAGGTCCACCTCAGAATGGCTTAAAAAAATCAAAATGAAGGTTTTGGACTGGACTAGTAAAAGTCCTGACCTGAATCCAATTGAGATGCTGTGGCATGACCTTAAACAGGCTGTTCATGCTCAAACCCTCCAATGTGGCTGAACTAAAACAATTCTGCAAAGATGAGTGGGCCAAAATTCCTCCACAGCGCTGTGAAAGGCTCACTGTCATCACAAACGCTTGATTGCAGTTGATAAGAGTTATTAGGTTTAGGGGGCAATCACTTTTTCACACAGGGCCATGTGGTTTAGATTTTAATAAAAACCTTTATTTAAAAACTGCATTTTGTGTTTACTTGTGTTGTCTTTGTCTAATATTTAAATTAGTTTGATCTGAAACATTTAAGTGTGACAAACATGCAAAAAGAAAAAAAGAACTCAGAACACTTTTTCACACCACTGTATACTATTTCCAGTATTGGCGTGCCATGCAAAAAGCAGAGGCTGCTAGAAGGAGTGACGCTGATACAGCCCCAACAGGGTAATGTAAAACAAACACTAGCTGAAAAAATACTAATACTGCAGGGGTAGGATTAGTTCGAAAAGGCCTCTGCACCATTTTAACACAAGTACAGAAAAGGAGATGTTTATTCCCAAGACAACAAGGAGATTTTTTTTTTTTCTCCCAACACATGAGTATAGATGAGAGGGAGAACGTGTGCAAGCCAGTTTGATCTTCCCAAATTCAGTGTAATCAATTTAAAAACAGCTCTGTCCCATCCAGCTTCTTTAAAAGTAATCCATCACACTGCAACATCATTATTCACCTGAAGTAAAGCATACACACAAAATGCAAATGTTCCTTCTGAAGGCCTACACACACTGCTGGGATCGAAGCACAGTAATGTCCTGTTATAATGAGGGCTTGTTTGGGGTCTAAAATCCATTAAATTGCCTGCAAGAATCACTATCAGCCTTAAGCCACCTTTACACTCTGTGACAACAGCAGTGTAACTTTAATGCAAGTGTCACTGTCCAAGATGGGTCTAATAAAATCAGTCTGAGACTGATTGGTTGCAATCAACGTCAAACTGTCCAATATAAATTTGAGGCTGTCAGCGATGCCAACTGCTGCATCATCTAGATGAATGTGCGGTGAGTCGCAGCACTGCGACAGATAAAAGGAATATGACAGCTTGCATCATCCATCCGTGCTGTTTCAAAAATGCAGCAAAATAAACAAGTTAAGGTCCCGGGTTCCACAAACTTCCTCTCTGTTTAACCTCCAGTGTTTTGGTTTGTGTGTGTGTGTGTATGTGTCTCCTCCTTACATTTAATGCCAAAATTGCACTTGGGCTGCACGGTATAATGAGAAAATATCCTACTGCAATTATTTTGACAGATACTGTGTTTGTGGGAATGATCATTTTGCAACAACTTTTTCTAATGCGGTTTTGTCCAACGTTTTACCTTTCTCTAAACATTGCAGCTTCTGCGATTTGGAGACTGAACAATTGTGTAGCCCTAATACAGACTAATACATTCAAGCACTACTTTGGTGGTTCTGTGATGTTAACAAGTAATCCTTTACTTGCCAATTGTGATAGCTTCTTCACAAAAATCTAATCTTCAATCTAAACATATTCTTGGTTTTGAAAACCAAGAACTCTTCCTCACCCGTGCTCTGAGACCCAAAATGAGTTCCGCCCGCTGCCTCGTGGAGAGAAGTTGAGGCACAATCTCTGTAACCATGAACACAAACTCCTCAAGCAACCCATAATCTGACACAATCTTCTGCTCCACTGTCTGCCAGATGGCTGCAGAGACCAGCCGAATCGGTGGGACCAGGAGCCGCAGAGCAGAGAGAGGAAGAGAGGGACCTGCAAACAGGGAAATGTGTTGTTGTTTGAAAGGAGGACACAGTAACACTTTCAAATTAGATCAAGACCGAACACAATGTGTAGACTGAGAATACATTGTTTAGTCCAAGATAGAGTGGGGGTTTCCTGTGTAATTTATGGACAGAAATATTGCTGCTTCTTTATTCAAAAGGTAATTTTTCAATACTGAGAGTAGGGATGCAGCAGAATATTTGTTTCCTATCACATTAATTTAAGCTATTAAATCCGACTGTATTAGCGTTATTAAAGTATAAGACTTAATATTTTGAGAGATTGTTATAGATTATGTGTTTGTTTTCATTTCCTTAAAGATCATTGTAACTGTAACTGTGACTGTCTGACACTAAGTCAGGAATATTAGAAAATGTTTTCAGTATTAATGTTTGGGTAAACAGCATTTAATGTCAGTGATCTGGATGTAATAACACCAGAGGCACAAACAAGAGGCATAAAAAACTAATCCAAAGCCTCTTTCCACAATTCATCCATTGACAGTTTCCCAGTAAGAGATAATGCAACAAATATACCATTATCACACTCATCTGGAAAGCTAGGGTCTATCATCTTGGTGGATCAGATAAACCAAGCTTTATGTTTTACCCCTGATCTTATTTACCCATCTTTGATACGCCCACCATAAACCAATAAACGGATGACAAAGCTGTGGTCTCATCTAATGTTCAAAGGATTACTTTTTCTTTGGAAACTACGCATAACCAATAAAAAGCCAGCCTCTGGTTGAGGCGGATGTGTCTACTATCATTTCTGTGATAAAGTCTAACATTGACTTAATATCACACGTCGATGTGCGACTACGTCATAAACAGTGCTTTATAAATGTATTTACTAACAACAACCACGTAAATATATTTGTCTGGACAACAGTTTGCGTCAGTTCATTAAAAATCAGCAGAGAGCTGTTAGTAGTCTAACATTAGTCTAACATTAGTCTAACGTTAGTCTAACATTAGTCTAACGTTAGTAGTCTGATGGTCTGAGTGCACTGCAGCCAGTTTAGCTGGCGTTAGCTGAGATAGCACAAGCTACAGCCTAGCGTTAGCACGTAGCTACACCAAAACTGCCACTTAATGTATGCAAAACCAGGAACCTAGCTGAAAGTCTCCATGGGAGGACGAACAAAGGGATACCAATTAAGGTCTGAATTCAATTTAAATGAGGTACGTAGTGTATTATGACTTAAAAACTGCGATTTCCCGACAAAGTTAGCAATGGCATTCCCGCGCGCGGGCTGTGTCACGGCCTAGCCAAACAACTGTGTCTATGCGCGCTACTACTCACCGTGTAACTGTGAAATAGCTCCGTCCATACTGCGGTCACTGCACTCACATTACAGGCAGGGAGAGCAATGTCCGTCGCTCGACCGAAGTCAAACTGGAGAGTTTTACGGTGCTGGTGTCCCAGAGTCCGAAGTCACTCAGCCGATCTTTGTGCGTCAACGGTTGCTTTGCGTTCCGTCCGGAATAACAGTCCGACGGGAGCCAGCTGGCTATGACAAGTTCCGCATCTTGTTTTTTTTTTTTTTGTGTTCCGCTTTCCCTTTACCTCTGTCACATAATGTAAAGCTTCTAGATTTCAACCTCAAAATAGTTTCACACCCACACATGCAACGTGTTGAATTCTAAATGAGCAACACACAACAACAGTATCCATGTGTTTGATATAATAGGATAAATACACACAGTTTCAATGTGCTTTTAATCTTTCCACTCATAAACACATATAACATAAACAATACGATTGATGAAATAAGGAAAGTATATATATATACAAAATATTAAAAAAAACATCTAAAAACAACTATTTTAAAAACATGAAATAGTTTTAAAAATAGTATCACATCATATAAACGCAGTCCCAACAGAGACGTCATGTATTTATTTGAACCCACAACCTTTTAGTTTGCAAGCATTCACCTGTTTTATGCAATGCCACATTAGGTTGATTCAAATTTCCCAACAATGTGACCTGCTGTTACAATTTAACCTCATGTGATGTATGATGTTTGGCAATGTTTGAGACAGAAAACAGGAAATAAACACATACAGTGGATGAAGTATCCCTCAGCCATTTATTATAGTAACTTAAACAACTGAGGTAATAAGTACAAATGTGGAGTGTGTCAGTCAGTAACATCAGTAATGTAAATGTTGTCAAGTGAAAACAAAGCAGAAATCAAACAAAAGCTGAGAACATGCTGCTGCTGGCGGGGATGCAGCCAAATGAGAGAGACCCGGGCAAAGCTGGGACAGGGTTTTTATCCTTTAGGAGCACCTGACCCACATGCTCCAAATCAGTTCGCTGCTGATGGTACCTTCAGGGACACATAGGAAAAACTATAACTTGTCCACCACATCAGCACATCAGCATGTTGGACAGGGACTGTCACAACTGATCAGTCAGCAACTACAAATCACAGTCAATATGACTAATTCAATCATTTTAATGTAATAAAGAAAAATAGAAACTAGCTACACAGTAAACAAAGATGCCACAAATTGCAGTGAGTGATACACATAATCTGTGACGAGATCAGATTTGACTAATGTAATGCTTAAAAAAGTACTGTAGAAATATTGCATTACACTTCTGTAACATTGTTGGACTCACAATGGCCATTTTTTAAAAATGGATCAAAATCAATGCAGCAGAACCACATATAATGCCTTTTTTATTCCACACATTCTTTTTCCTTCTCAAAACTAAATGTAAACCTATCGTGATGTCACCCAATGCATTGCTTATGGTAAGCTCAATTAACTCCACAACCCCAGGTTTTTTTTTTCATTTTCAAACTTGTAGTCTTCAGCCGTAACCGACTCAAGTGACATCTATTGGGGAGATTTATCAGAGTTTGCACAGCTCCCTCTAGAGGCACTAATGGCCTTGTACAACTGTTTAAGCTGTACTACTACCCAGAAGCTCGAAACACACTTTGATGTGTAAAATTGTTGCTCGGTTTAACAATGAATAACCATGTGGGGCTACTGCGTTACAAAAGTATGTAGAAGTTTTTTGTGTCTTCGCATGCTGTAGAGCTTGGGGAACGCCTTGCCGCAGATATGGCAAACAAATGGCTTCTCTCCGGAGTGTATTTTAGCATGAGCGTTGAGATAACACATTTTTATGAAGCCCTTCCCACAGACATCACATTTAAATGGTCTCTCTGTAGTATGGTGAATGAGGACATGCCTCTTCACTTCAGCAGTTGACCTGAAGGCCTTGTTGCATTCAGGCATGGTGCATTTGAAAGGCGTCTCTCCCGTATGGATTAATTTGTGTCTTGCTATTGTTGATGCAGAGAGCATCTTTCCACAGAACGAGCACGGGTGACGGAACAATTCGTGCAAGTGTTTGCTTTTCTGGTGTTTTTTCAGGGCTCCTTTGTCTTTGAAGGATTTCTCACACTCGGAGCAAGAATGCCTCTTCTCATTTCGAGACTCGCTGTGGATGAAATTCAAGTGCCGCAACAAGTTGGAACTCTGGGCGAAAGTCTTGCCGCACTCTGCGCACAGGTAGGGTTTCTCTCTCGTGTGCACTCTTTCATGGGAAATGAGATCTGCGTCGTTTTTGAATCGCCAGCCGCACTGAGCGCACCGGAACGGTAGATGACCCGTGTGTTTCCACTCGTGTCTGATTAAAAGGCGCAGCTTGGAAAAGGTCTTCGGACAATGGTTGCATTTAAAAGGCTTGCTGATTTTATGGATGTTTTCGCAATGCTTGACCAAGGGCTTGAAATTGGTGAAGGTCTCCTCACAGCGGTTACACTGGAACGAGGTGTGAGAAGCATTGTGCCTCGCCAATGCTGCTGCGTCCCGTAACACCTTCCTACACACGCTGCAGTAGAGTTCGTCGTGGGTCAGTTTGTGCTTGCCCAGTGAAACTTTGTACCTGAATGCCTCTTGGCATTTGTCACATTTGTACAGATTCGCAGCTTCATCCGGCTTCTCCGGATCTACTCTCGGCTGCTGGCTGTACTCAAAGCACACTCTGTTCATGTGCAGCTTCAAAGATGAGAGGAGTTTAAACCTGCTGTCGCATCGCGGGCAGGCGTAATCACCAGTGGGAAAGTGGGTTTTCATGTGAGTTCCCAGGGTAGTGTTAAAGTGCTCCTTGCAGATAAAGCATGGGTCTTTATAGGGCTTTTTCTGAGCGCTGGCTTTGATGCTGGAGGTACCCTGCTTTCTGCTGGTAGCTGATACTTTTTTAGGACTTGTGAAGGAAGGGTCCTCATTTGAGCAGCTAGACAAAGAATCATCTTCAGCATAAACCCTGACAGAGGAGCACTCATCGCCTGAGTAGTTAGACCATGAGTCAGCCACACTGGGACTGCTGCTAGCAGTCTTATAGCAAGAGCCCTCATCTGAGTAGTAAGACCATGAGTCGTTTTCACTGCAATCACTGACAGGAGCCAAATACGACTGTTTGATGTAGCTGCTTGAATCCTCGCCAGGGCCCTCTGAAAGATTTGTTTTCTTAGAAGCGGATTTGCGGGCAGAGAGGCCCTCTTCACGAAGACCTCTTTTCTCTTCTAACAGGATCTTTTTCATCTTCAGGCCTCTGTTTCGTCTCACAGGTCTAGACTGTAAAGATGTCAGCTTGTTGAGCTGAACATGGCACTGTTTTACATGGTATGGAGCATTCTCCACAGGGCCTATTGCTTCTTTATGTCTCATGACATCACCCAAAAGCACCGCTGTTCCGTTTTCCCCAGGAGTCCAATTAGTTTCATCAACCTTTATATCGCTTATCTGGCCTTCTGTGATCGTATCTGTTGTTACCTGTGTTGTATGAGGCAATGTTAAAGATTCATTCTCCATATCTGATGCACACGATAGCACATTATTCAAGACATTGGCCTGTGGTTGTGTTTCATCTGCCTCAGTTCTATTTACAGAGGGAAGTTTGAGAGCTGAAATAATGCAGGCGCCATCCAAGGACCCATCTGAAATGAGAAAAAATATTAAAATAATAATAATATGGTGGAAAAGGCTAAAGCTCGACACCCGCTGTTCAGTGTCATTCATTATTCAAACAGTATGCTACACATTAAATCTTTCCAAGCCAATTATTCAGAGAAAACTTTGACTTGTCTAAAATATCTAAAGCTGCATTCACTGATGTTTTATGTCGTTTAACTCATTCATCAAGCAAAAGGGAAAGAAAGGCTTGCCATTGTGATCCAGTTGGCTGAGGTCTTTTTGATAATGCAGGAGGGTTTTGAGGTCCTCGCGTCGACACACAGAGTCCATGCATTCCTCCAGAACTGAGGACACCTCACCAAACATGGAGGCAACCTGAAGAAAGACAGAAAGGGAGATTAGATCTATGAAAACAGCAAAAATCAGAGCTAGCCCAAAGAGATACCAAAATGACAGTGTCACAACCTTTGTCCATCATTTATGTACCTGTTGGAAAGTCTGAAGAGGAAGGAACCTTTCAAGTCTGGATAGGAACATCCACATCAAGGTGTGAAGTTCTTCATCATATGTGGGACCAAACTCTTCAGGGAAAATGTTCTGAAAGTATATTCAGTCTAACACTTGAAAACTATAATGACTGACCTCATTAAAGAATCAGAAATACAGGATTTACAATAACACTGACCTGAAAGAAGTGTTCCCTTTCGTCAGGATTTGTCAGCAAGTTCTTAACTAGATCCACAAACTCTGAGTGTGGCGCTTCCATATTTGCAGCCCCAACCTGCAGAACATGACACGACCATTATAAAGCAATCCCCCTCCATTGTATGGCTGTATTGGTTATTTTTAAAGGGAACTTTATTTCACATAAACTGCTTTTTTTCTCATTGATCTGAAGTAACAACACTTTAAACTAACCTCCGTTACCCACGCCTTGATGAGCGTTTGCACTCTGTCCAGTTGTGGCTGAAGGAGCTGAAAGTCAGCAGTAGCTTCAAACTGACACAGCTCCAGAATCAGCTAAAACAACAAACAACAGCAACACACTTCTGAAAACACTACTTTAGCACAGTTAGCTGTAAACCTTTGGCCAGTTCTAGCTTTATAAGTAGAACTATATTTATATCACTTCTTATTAAACTAGTGACATATTTTTGCCAGCTGTAAAATGAACAATGACTAATAACGTTCAAGGAACAAATGTTAACTCAACTATCTGTCATTGAATGAGGTAACATAATAGTGACTGCGCCTAAGGCCCATTGATGAATGTAGGGGTGTCGTGATTGATAATTGCTATGTTTAAAGGTGAAATATTGATCATTTAATAATACATATTAATAATAAATAATCCAGAGCCTCTTAAATGATTGTTTTCTTTCATTCCTGCTTTGTGGTTCACACTCTAACACAGCAGGTGGCAGTAGTGTAACACTGGTTGCCAGTGTTCCTGTAGAGTTTGCCAGAAAAGAGAAAACCACACAATAAAAGTTAAAGATGAATTTAACTGATAGCATTATTTTGATTTTTTTAATTTTCTACAGATGAATTATTTTGGCCATGGCAAATGGCAAACCAGTTGGAAATATTACAGGGAGTAATGGAAGGAGCCACAGTGAGCGGTCAGATGAAGATGTGCAGGTAACAGACTGCTCAGAACACATCGGTGAGCTGGGCCGCGTATGACCACATTCTTTTGTGTACAAATGTGTCCAGGGCCATTGAAGGGCCAAATGTCCTCAAGTGACATCCCGTAAGCACACGAAACATGCTGTCTGATTTCCATTTGGTTCACTGTAATGCAAATAGCATGTCTGGGCTCTCTCACAAGACAAGCAGCAGGTGTGAACACGCTGTCTGTTTCAACGGATTTTCACCATTGAGTATTAAAACATTGTTGAGAGTTGTTGAGTGAGGAGAAACAGCTAGGGCAAACTCTTGATGATTCATGCTCTCTTGTAAATTCATTATTAAATGCAATATACACCAAGTTGTTTTTGTGTTTTGTGTTTTTGTGTGATTTAGTCACGGCAGCCTGTTCTGTGTCTAAAGTGCGTCTTACATGCCAACATTCAGCAGCTAGGTGTCTGAACACACTGTTTCAACTGTTTTCACCATTTATGAAAGAAGACAACATTTTATTGATGGTATTACATATTCACATATCTGGTCATTATTAACAGTCAGTATTGGACTACTGCTCCCTCTCACCCGTGCTCTGAGGCCCAGGATAAGTTGGACCCTCTGGCGTATGGTGAGAAGCTCTGGAACAATGTCTGTAACCATGGAAACAAACTCCTCAAGCATCCCATAATCAGCCACGACCTTCTGCTGGATGGTCTGCCACATCGCTGCTGAAACCAGCCGAACCGGTGGGATCAGGAGGCGCAGAGCGGAGAGGGGGAGACGGGTACCTGAATGTCAGCAGAAGTAGGTTACCTTCACACCACGCATTGTCTCGATTCTTTTAATTCAACTAACTTTTAACTGTCAACATTAACAGGCAGAGACTTGGATCAGGCGTAGTGTTAACACATTATTGTGGTGGAAACTGTTTTTTTCCTCATGGAGAAATGACCAAATAAACAATGATATAACAAACAACACAATAATATAAGATTATAAAAAAACATATAAGAAATTAAACATTTTGCTTCATCAATTATCAGCACACAGGTTTTTTTTTTTTTTGGGGGGCTTTTATTGCCTTTAATTAATACTGACAGCAGCTGTTGGGGGGGGCAGTAAGGAGTCACAGGTGGGAGTCGAACCCACGACTCCCGCAGTAAGGGCTCGGTAATAACATCATCAGTTCACAAGTGATGTTTAACAAACAGAATATTTGCGTTTACTTCCTAACCAGGATAGTTTTTAAGTTCGGGTCCCCAGCAGTGCAGGGGTTAATGCTGACATTAGCTAACAGTGCTTTCTTCACGCAGTCACAATTCCTCCCTAACAATAAGTGAAGTTAGCCTGTTAGCTAGCTCTCAGTTAGTGTGGGTGAACAGTTACTCACAGTTCCCCTCTGAAGTATTATCCTCCATCCTGTAACTGTCTCATCCGCTGCACTCGACCACGGTGTGTTGTGGCGGGTTAGCGGGAAATGTTAAAAATACTGAAGAATTTCTCCTCCTTTCCCTTTTTCTTCGGTCTGTTAGATATATGCATCAGATCGATGATTGGTCCGTCAGTGTTTTTGTTCCGGGCTGTCCGGGTCGATGGTTCCCAGCTCAACTGATGATGATGATGATGATGATGATCCAGCCCCGACAGAGCGTCCAATCACAATGTATTTTACTATGTGTGGTAAATACCAGAAGCATTTTAATCTTATACCTCATATATAAGACAGATACTTAATGTGCGGAACCTTTGAAAAAACCTTGTACTCATACAGAAACTGTCTACACACAGGTTGTGTTATTGCTGAACACACATCTAACCTGGCCGCTGTATAGCATTAGAAACCTGCATGATCAATGTGTTTGGAGTTTGCTGCCTACACGTGGACTGATGACCAGTGGCGTGCAGAGACTCTTTGGGGGCAGGGGCAAATGTAAAGAAGGGGCACCTCTTTCACATTAAGGGTCTTAATGCCCGGTACTGTCCTAGCAGAGCCGGTTTAGAGACTTTGTTTCAATATTGTGATTCATGAAATAAAGATGAACTGATATTTTTGCTCTCAGTGGAGCCAGATGTCATTTTTCAGTCTCACCCCGGGTTAAACAGGGTTACTTACAGGCCTGCTAGCCCTGGTGGAAATATTCCTGACCGAACTTTATTACAATATAATAAATACAATTATTAGTGTAATTATTGGTGTCTTGTTGTCTTGAGGGCCCATGTTTTCGCATCCTGTGAGGGAGCTATGCAACATCTGGTTTTGAATTCCATCTCAGAGGAGGGCAAATATTTTAACTTTGGACAGCAATGCCGTCTACCTGTACCGGTATTCTCTGCCAGTCTTACATAATGAGTTGTTTTACAATTCATTTATTCCTTTATTTATTTCACAATGTCTTTTATTTAAAAATGATTGAACCTTGAGGTTCCATAGTTGGCCACTTGTATGGAGAGAAATTAGATTCAAAAGTGTCTAATCTACATGTAAAAGCAAGATTTTGAATAAATTAGTGTTTTCCTATTCACCAATACCACCAACTTGAATAAATAAATAAAAGAATGGTGCAATATATACCACCTCACTTGAATGAATATCAACATTATATCTCCAATTTCAAGTTGATTAATCAACATTTGGTCTCTGATTTATGAATGTCTGAGAAGTGCATGGATCACCTAACATGGACTGGGGTCAGTGTGTGTGTGGAGTTTTGAGACTCCCTACGTCCCCCGTGAACACTTTCTCTCCACACACTTTTACTGTTGATGTGCAAGTTTTCATATCAATTTAAAATTATATTTATAGTCAGTTCTTAACAACACAGAGAGAAAATACATTTTGACGTATTTTAATTGGAAATGTGTACCACATAAATACAAACACAGTATGTCAGTCTTCAGCTGCATCCTCGTATGTATATGAAGCCACTACACCGGGGTCCAACCCAAACACTGAAACACTGCTGTAAGGCAGAACACAACCCTGCTTTATTTGTTACTTCATATATTAAACATCCATACCATGCTCTTAATTATAAGAGTGCATGTCAAGCTGCATATCCCTGTTCACAAAATGTAAAACTAAGTTAAAGCTGCAATGTAAACACTAAAGGATTGTTCAGAATTGCATTTTTGCAGCTGCAATGTTTCCTTAAAGGTCCAGTGTGTAGGATTTAGTGGCATCTAGTGGTGAAGTTGCAGATTGCAAACAACTGAATACCCTTTGCCTTCCAAGCATTTACGAGAACTGTACAAAAAACACGAAAAGTCCTATCTAGAGGCAGTGTTTAGTTTGTCCGTTCTATGCTACTGTAGAAACGTGGTGATTATAGACTAATGAAAACATACCTATGAATATTATATTACATTTCTGACAGTAAATCTCCTAAATGTTACACACTGGACCTTTAAAAGGGAACTCCACTGATAAATTGCCTCAAGTGATGTCACTTGAGTCATTTTCGGTTGAAGACTACGAGTTTATAAATCTGTTAGTGTGGAAAGAAGCAAGCTTACCAAACATCTGTAGCCCACTCCTCATCTCTGATTGAGGCAAGAGGCCCAATTAGCCACTACTAGCATAACACGGCAGCTGTCAGTGGTTGAGTGGCATGGTGGGTAATGTAGGCAGTTTTGACACACAACATGTGGAATAAAGACCCCAGCTCTGGTTCTTTTAGAAAAAATCTTGTGAGTCCGACAGTGCTGTAGGATTGCAACGCTAAATCAGTGGAGTACTCCTTTAGGCTCATTGTAACCACAGCACCGAGACAAAATATTCCCATAGAGTCTTTATTTGTGGTGGCAACATCATGCAAAATCTCTGGTAAGTAATGAAAAGGAAGCCTGGAATGATCTGCAGTAAAACTTAACTGGAAGCAGATATGTTTGTAGAAGTATTTAAGACTCGGTGTGACAGCGTTCGTAGGATTGTGCTCATCTCAGATGGGGAGATTTAATCCCTGCTGTTAAAATGATGCACAATAGGTGGACAATTCCACGGACTCTGTTTATTGGAAACCAGGAAGAAAGTTAAAAATAAATACATCGGCACCTAAAAAGGAAAAATGAAAGACTTCCATTTCTGTCATGATTATTCACATACAGCACAATACTAGTGAATTCACTGATCTCAAACGTTTAAAAAAGGAGCCATCTGAAATGAATGGGCTGGGCAATGATGTATACTTACAGATGATATACTGTTCTCATTGGCTATTCAAATGAATAAAGCAATTTACAGTGATAAGAATGCACTGGCGTCCTTTTAACCCTTTGCTTGCATTATGTGTTGTTTCCTAATGAGCATTCTGTTCAACATGGAGAAGTAAAATAACACAGAAGCAACCCATGCCTCTCCATTTTGAAGGGATTCTAACAAAAACACACCTCGAGAGTTACGTGCGAGTTCTTTTTTTTTTTTTTTTTAAAGAGAATGTTAAATCACAGCTTCTAAATTTAATTTATATTTTAACAAGGGCTTGGGAAACAAACAAAAAAAAAAGATTCTTTATACATGGGAATGCATAGTGGTCAAAAATAGAAGAGCAAAACATGAATAATTTGACCACCAAACCTACGAGGATTTAACAAATTCCTCCCCAAATTGATTCAGGAAAAACAATGCACATTTATTTCAATTGCAAATAATTACAAACGCTTGAGTCAATAATATCCCACCACAAGAGGTCCGCTTCAATATCATACAGTGCCAAATCAGAGGCAATTTTACATCTTCAGCTCTTATTTACCAATGTGTCAAATCTTCAGGAGTACACATTTTTCTGTAGAAAACTTTTCTCGCTTTTGTTTTTTTTTTTCTTCCTTTATACAGTAATAAAAAAAGTTAAGGCAAGATGCGTCAAACAGAAATCCGAAGGCCATGGACCAGCCTCTGCAGGTGTTCTGATTCCACTGATTCTGGATCAGAAGAAAGTGCAGTCAGCAGCTCCCACTCGCTCTCTGTCTCAGGCATCTTACGCTGGCGGGAGGGGAAGAGGAGGAAAGCGGTGGTGGAGGGTGTGGGGTGGGGGGGCTTGTCAGAGGTGTTCACTACCACTCCTCCTCCCCTTCGATCCCCCTCTATGAGTCTGCGAAACACTCCTCTTTGGCACTTAAGCTGGCAGACTCAACTTCTTTCCTTTCAGTACTGAAACAAGACAGGATGCCTTTATGTTTAACACTGACCATATCACACATTCACATTCACACATGCATTGTTTCATATTACTGCGGGTGGCTTCACTAAAGACTGGCATATTTTCTCACTGCATGCAGATAGATGTGGTTTTATGTGCTGCTTCCAAACTTTTTAAGCTAATGACCTTTTAATGCAAGACAATGCTTTGTCTATGAGCGTTGAGCAAAGAACGTTTTCTTCTCAGACTGTTAAATGTTAATCCAACACTGGAGCCAGCGCAGGATATTTAGAGACACAATCTAAAACTGATGCTTAAACTAGCTTAAAGCTGCTCCTAGTGATTCTTGCAAATACCATTAGGAATACAAATATGACAAAAAGTTATTTCAAGCAAAGTGACCTACTGCAGCTTTAACAACAGCAACAAATGTTTAAGTGAAACAATCTGAATTAAATGGATGAATTAGAAAACATGGTAGTAAATTAAACCTTTACAAAGCTCTTTTGAATTTGGTTTATGTTTCAGATTTCGACCAGGAAAGAGTTTCTAAATTTCTATTCCCATCCTCTGATTAAGTCTGCATCCGTCCAACTGCAGACATAATACCCTGTCCATACTAAAAAAGCGTCCAGAAAGTGTCAGTGATATACATGAGAAAGAGAAGTGCAATGCAAGTATGGTGTGAGAAGTGTATAGTCCATTGTTCCTAAAAAAAACAATGTATAGACTGTTTAGAAGGGTGTGGCAGTGTCTGTATCAGCAGACCCTGCAGCCCTGGATTTTCTTATTCGACTGTGTTCAGGATGTTTCTGGGCGTCAACCTTTGGGCAGCACACAGGCGTCTCTCTCTCTCTCTCTCTGCTCTCCAGTGCTAGCAGAGCGCTAAAACGAATTGTGGAGATCGGTCTATGCGAGACTATGAATGTATACAGGGCTGCAGGTCTGGGTGTCTGTTTGACCGATCAGTGCAGCTTCGGCACAGAATCCAGCAATGTGCACCTTCTCCAGGACTGTGCGGACACTGTGGAGGTGCATTAGACGTAACCGCTGCCAAACAATCTGATAATAATGCTTTATTTCTCTGATCCACTTTGTTCTTCGTAGCGGCGCTTCCTCACTCCCATTCACCCTCTACCCTGTTCTACCATCATTGCTCTCAGTTGAGCCAGCCAGCCAGCCAACTGTGAATGGTGCGTTTACAAACAGCAATGTAAAAATCCTTCATAGTATGTCTTTACATAAAATATTTATTGATGCCTGGTGGGTCTGGAGATATATTAAAAGATTATGATAATGTTTGACTGTGTGTTTTCTGTCTCCAGTTTGAGATTCATCCACAGTAAAACTAGCAAAAGCTGGTTTATTGCTAACTAAGTAACTAATAATTCTATTGATTGCGTAAACCTACATTGATTCTAACTTCTTGATACCCAACCAACTAACAGAGCAAAAGAAAACACTCTCACCGTTTATCTGTTTAATAAAATGAAAGAAATCTGCAGTGGCACTCACCTTTTGTTACATACAAATAGAAGAAGTCGCAGTAGAGGATGGTCTGCACCACCCCAGCGACAATGGCGATCATGTCGAAGAATCCCTCAAAGTAGAACCTCCATATCCAGTTGATGAGGTAGAGGGCTCTGTAGAGTCCCAGGAAGAACAGGTAGTGGGTGGTGATGGTCTCGGCCTCACCAGTCTTGCTGATCATGAAAAGCTGGGGCAAGATGGCCACCGACTCCAAGTAGATGGAGAACGTCCACAGAATCTGGGCCAAACAAAGAGGAAGAGGGAGTGTTGGTGGAAAAATAACAGCAGGTAGGCAAAAAAACACAGTGAGACAGAGTGCCTATGTGTTGTAGGAGCCTCAGTCATTTGGGAAGGGCTTTATGAGCTTGTATGAAGCTGTGTTCACACCTGTACAGAATTCTGCTCTGGATTAGGACTGCTTGACACATGAAATTCCACTTTATCAGTATGACATGGTATAGTTGTGAGCAGATAGTTGGCTGCTACTTAAAAACACATTTAAAAAGGTGCTGTAAGCTAAATCAGCATTTGAGCTAACTTCCTGTCTGTTCTTGCAGTTAGCAGAGCAAGCATAGCTCCCCTAAAAAAAAAAATACAACAGGTCGGGTTGAGCCTTAAAGACACGTGCATAAGCCACAACAGCGGTCTCGAAGTCCAAGTCCTAGTTATAATTCAAGTGTTTCCTAGGTGGGGACTGACACATAAACTAGTACTTATGCAGAGATGTGTTGGTAAATATTGACACCTTCTAAATGCCAATGTGTAACTGATGCAAAGCTGACAGAACCAAGTGACAACATGACTGCAGTCTGCTAGTGTTTGACCTGTTTAGAGTGAAACTATAATAATAGATGACATGGAATACTGTTATGATATTTGACCTGATCAAACTGATGTAAACCAGAAATAAACCATATTTTTCCTCTTACCTGCAGTGCTGTTTATCCATCTAGATTGTTTCGGTGTGAGTCACTGAGTTTAGGAGATATTGGCTGTAGATGTAATGGAACCAGATGGCACTCAGCTTGTGGTGTTCAAAGCTCCAAAAAACACATTTGACTCAAACTCAACAGCAACATCCCTTTCCAGAAATCATGACCCGGTTACTCAAGATGATTCACCGACCTTGTTGTGAGCAGGAACTATTTTCTTCCTACTGAACTACACCTGCCAACCGTAGCTGAACTTAAGCTATCTCAGCGGTGTTAGGTGGGCTAGCTCGGCCGAGGAGGACGCCATTACCGTTTACATCCTGTGCTGTCATGAGCATGAGCCTTTCGTCCGTGAGTAGACGCACGCTCCCTTCTGCGTGGTGATACGTAGAAAGAAAATAGTGCTTTGAGCACCACAAGCCGAGTGCCATCTGGTTCCATTATATTGGAGAGAAGCAGACATCACTATGGCGGATACCTCCAAAACTCAGCAACTCACACCAAAACAATCTAAAGTGACATACAGCACTACAGGGAAGAGAAAATGTGCATTTTTGATCTTGGGGTGAACTGTCCCTTTAATGAAGAATTTAACACTTCTGAAGAGAGAGAGAGAGAGAGAGAGAGAGAGAGAGAGAGAGACACACACACGTGCATATACGGAAGGAGAGAAGTGAAACATAACTACATTAGGTAATGACACATGTAGACCTGTATGACTGGAGTCTCTGACAGCTGTCTGATGTAAACAGAGGTCAAGAGCACCTTCAGAACCATAAGCATTTCTGCTGTTTGAAAGGGGGTGTGTTTGGGCAGTATTTCTGACCTCCAGGGGAGAGAAGTCATGGTTAACCAGGAAAGCCAGGCCGCCGACAGGGACGACCAGGAACTCCACCCTGAATGTGTCGTGGTTCCCGTCGTAAGTGGCCTTGAATTTCAGGTAGATCAGGTACACAGTGGCGTACGCACATCCGATGTAGATGATCTGAAAGACACAGACAACACAGTCAGAAACAGAAACATGAATATTCACTGGTGTGTCATGAATACAATCAAGCAGTAGTGACACATCATGCTGGGCAACGTCAGCCATCAGCAAACAGAGGCGTGTCGACACCGGCGTACTGGTTGAGCCTCAACACTGTGTGCTTAGTGCGCGGGGGAAAAAAAGGCTACAGGATGTGAGAACGAGGAGCAACGTGTTTCACCTTCATTGTGGTGTTGTAGAGAGAGATGAAGGAGGTCAGCAGGTCCAGGTAGCGGGTGGTGAACACTAATGCAAACAGGACCTGACTCTTCCCAGAGATACCTGTGAGGAGACAGCAGAGGACATTCAAACATTTTTACATTCCAGAAATATCTCACTTCTCAGCAATTAAACAGACAGTTGACAGAATGTACTCATATCTAGAGGGCATCTGTCCCTCTGCAGCTATAGCTCACCCTACTACAGGATCCAAAACTGCATTGGTTTATTGTGCTAAAACTTAAAGGAATTGCATTTAAAGCAAACACCAACATCTCTTTCCAAATACAATAACCTACAGTTACTCACAGTAAACCACAGACCTCACACACACACACTGCTCCACAGCTCCCTCTTCTACTTTCTAACAAAATATGCCCACCCACTTTATCTCTTTTTATTCATTCATTCTCCAATGGTAATTTCCTGCAGTTGGCTTGCACAACCTAACTGTACTGTAAGCTATTTTTATATTCTACAATGGAAGTAGCCAACATGCTGGGAGAAACAGACATAATGTTTTTTACAAGGAGAGAAACAACTTAGTGTATAAAATTCAAAGCCAATTTTGCAAGAAAGCCCCAATGATTAAAAATTTGCCGTAGCCGCTTTGCACAGTTTATTAACTTTCTCCTCACACAGCAACTCTCAAACTTGCATGATTTTTTTAAGGGAACCTGTGGATATAGAGGTTACTAGTTCAATGGTGAAATCAGTTGAAACAGACAGTGTGGTCAAAAACATTTGCTTATCTTTGCAGGTTAGAGAGTCCAAACATGTTATTTGCAATACAATGAACCAAATGGAAATCTATGATCGTATGATCAGTGATCACTACGTTATCATTATCCTATCCTTAGCCCAGCACTGGGAGTTATAACACATCAGCTATACAGCTGCAGACGGGTAAACTCTGATACTGATATGCAACTGTTCAGAATCTTAAAGCTTGAACATGATTGACTTGAGTTGTCGGTTTAATCTCAAGCAAACAGCAGTAATGACATAACTCTGATGACCGCCTGTCTTGCAGTGATACAGCCCAGACCTTTGACCCCTGGAAGAGCAGGGAAACACAGCAAAGTTCCATCGTGATAATACAGCAATCCACTCTCCCCATGGCAAATGCAAAGGCATGAATGCACTCACTGACTTTACATCTCCAACTTGTGAGTACTCACTGCTGCCACGTCAGAAAGGTCACACTTGGCTAACGTAGCTAACGTTAACGTACGGGGATAAACAGGTGGGCAGCGTGAGTCGTGGATTTACCACAGTTTCCTCCAACAACTCAAATGACGAGGCCCCAATATGTCAAACTAACAGCTGTGGCCCTCAGGTCCCCTTGTCCCCAACGTTGCGTTACTGCGGGACCCACTGCACTGTCAAGGCTTGTTCACTAGCAAGACAACTGCTGCTAGCCGGACTTTACTTCTCTTTCATTGATTCAGTTTCACGTCGCATATAACGTTAGCCATATTGTCCCAGTGACAGTCTCAGCAATGAACAACTAGCTACTAGCCAGCTAGCTCACGTTAGCCAAGAAGAGGCTAATGAGCTCCAACTACAGAAGTTACACAGTAGAGACCCTTTCCGTCCGGTTCCACTGGAGAATTACAGAACAGGGCACATTTTGTGCAAGTCAGGGGGCTCATGCAACCTGTAAGTAAAGGTGTACGACTACTCACCGGCACAAGACCTGGTTTTCCATATTTTTAGCAGCAGGATGATGATGGCTGCTAGGTGGGAGAGATCGCCGGTTAGCCTGAAAATGTTCATGTTTGTGGGAGCGCCAGCAGAAGCAAAGCGATTAAAGCCTCTATAAAGAGCTCAACTCGTCCCCGGTAACAAGTAATTTATGAGCTGACAGTGCTGAATGACACCGTGATACTAGAATAGAATGATTCTGGCTTCAGAAGATGGGAAAATGGCGAGCAAAGCGCGACGTGGCTTGGGGACGTGGCCAAGACAACGGTATCCAATGCAAGACGGGAAACGGCCGGACGCTCAGCCAATCAGAACAGCGAGATGCTTAATTTGCATAAATTATACTATACGAATGCTGCCTTCAAGCTCTGTGGATAAGATCGGAAATCCGACTTTCTTCTTTCAGCTTCTAGTTGCCATGTACAAGGAAATGTACCAGGAACTTCAACCCAGCTATGTAGAGAAAATACTTCACACGTCACATGAACAGAGTAATACTTTCATCCAACTAAAACATAACTCATGGTTTATCACAAACGTGTAGAAATGCTTTGTCAGGGAACCACTAGTTTACTTCCGACTCATTGGTTTGTGGTTTATTTTGCAAATGTTTCATTTGTATAGCAAAAGAAACTCCTATCAGCAGCAGGAAACACTCACAGAATACACACCATCGAGTTTTTCCAGTTGCAAGTTGGGTTGAGCTCCATTGAAGTTCTTATATAAGATAACCTCAACTCATTACACATGACATACATTCATTTATTCTATCACCTGAGAAGTGCAGAAAATAATGTATATTTTTTTTTATTCTGGAACCCAGATTATACTCTCAATACACTCAATACAAATATTGCATTTGTTGTGGCACATTTTGAATAGTCCGTTGTGCAGTACATTGACATGAGACCATGTAACTTTAGAAAGTACAAATAACGCAACCTTCCTCTTACAAATAAAAAGTTGAATTCAAAAACAATAAAACGCACACTTCCTTAATTCAATGCACGGGGGAGTTTTGAGGCTACAGCCGTACTTGGTCTGGTATGCCCAGCAGCATACGGTGGCTAATGTTAGAAAACCGTAGCTAGATATTGCCGAGTATCAGTTTGGCAGCTTTATGGCTTTTTCTCTACTCAGTTAAACTATGTTTTAGCATTAAAGCTGCACTAATCAGTGTTTTTCAGTTTAACAATGGCTCAAATAGACGAACACACTGGAGATAAAGTTAGCAACTAGCATGTGAACGTAGGGCAGAATGTTAGCAGCAAAAGAGCCAGACATTTTTCTCAGGATTTGAAGACAGGCTGCAAGAAACACGGCTCCACATTAATGCTAATGTTGCTCCTGCTTCTGTTTGCTAACAAGTTTGCCGTAACAACTTCATTGCATGATATGTCTAGTATGTTTTCAGCTTGCTACGCTGCCCCCTAGTGGCACAAATATCAATAAATGCAGCTTTAAACATTCTTCAATAATAAACTTTAAACATGAATCAATAAAAGTCACTTGTAGCCGTTGTTTCACATAAGTTTCATAGGCTAGCTTTAAGAAGGCCTCGTATTACTTTTATCATCACTGATAACAGATTTTCTTTTAAATTAAAAGGTGCTGTAAGTGAAATTCGCATTTTGGCTGACTTTTTGTTCGTTCTTGCAGTTAGCAGTGCCCTCCCTCCTGCCAACGTCACCACACGGAAATTCTGCTGCCTGCCCTTTAGGACCGCCTCTTTGTGGAGTTCTCTCTCTTGATTGGATGAAGTGGGAACAGGTGATAGAAAATATATTCTCCATTTCCTGCAGAAAGTAGGGACTGGGAGACCCATGATACTGACTGGACACAGTGATGGCTGTCGGAATGTGGAGCTATTTAACACTTATTGTAACAAAAGAATATCACTGATAGCACCTTTAAAATACAACAACCCCAATTCAGAGGGATTAAATCAAGTGTGTGCGTACACTGGTGCTTTGCATTAGGCACAGAACAAATTACAAATTCAACAAAAAAATCAACCATGATTTCTCCCACTGATATTACAGAATGATCAAACTAACAGTAAACATTCCCCACAAACAACAGACTACATAACAAACACCTACAACATGGTGATATGTCTTAGAAGATTTGATCTTCAGTGGAGTTTCAATACAGGCAAACTGCTATCCAGTTATTTTTTGCTTAAAAAGTAGGAGGTATCACGCACAATGGCTGGTAAATGTAGGAACTACAGTACCTGAGCTTCACACCTGACTCACCACTTCTAAACAAGTCAGAAATACTGTGTTTTATGAATGAAGCTTATGAGAATTGCATTAAAATCCTGCCCGGAGTAAACAAACAAGACACAGTAAAATATGGGCCTCCGACAGTCCCATGATGCATTTGGTATTCAGTGTGCAGGCTCTGAACTATCCTCTGAGGCCTTGAGAACAAAAACTGCATCATCGAGAACGTAGTAATCGTTATACATGTCCCCTTCACAGAGGTATGGCAACCGGGTCACAGCCTCCACTTCAAACCCCGCCCTTCGGAAAACCTCATTGGACAGTTCGGTTACTTGTTCCTCCCATGTTTTTCCTTTTACTTTCAGGTGTTCTTTGGGACGCTGCCATCTTCCTCCTAAGAACAAAAACAGACAGAATGTTTTTATTTGGATCACAGAGGAAGTTTAAAATGAAATCATGTAAAGTATGGCAGTATGCCCGACTGACCGATTTCCACGTAAGGCTGGAAGGGAAGCACCGCAGCCAGGATGAGTCTCCCGGTGTTGGGAACCAGCGATCGCTGGATGTCCCGCAGGAGGTGCAGAGGATCGTCACAGCGGTCCAGCAGGTTCAGACAGCTGACTACATCGTACTGGAAACCAGTCTGCTGCCACTCATCTATCCCTAGCACCCTGAGCATGACAGAACACAAGATTTTCAGACGGTAATACGTTACTTTTAAGCTGCTAGAAATGATCATTTTTGCAGTCTGCCTGTTTTGTACATTGCATACCATCATTTCTCACATTGTAAATCCAGCATAATACATTTCTCACTTGTAATTCCTCCTTTGAAGATGCCATTTCATCGGTAATGAGACCTCAGTTGCATAGACCTCTCTGAAATGGGCCCCCATCACCTCTGTGACGCCTCCATCCCCAGCTCCGAGGTCCAGTAGCCTCTCAGCCCTCCACTCTGGGCCGATCCGGAGCAGCTGCTGGAACTGCTCCGCGGAAAACACAAACATGGAGCCCCGACCCAGAAACCTGAGACAGGGAACACGTCAGAGGGAGATACGCTACAGGCGAGACGGAGACAGATATGTCTCTGCACTACTCACCCGTTGATGGAAGTGCGGGAGACCAGAGGGCCGAGGACCGTTGATACGAAAGAGTGGTAGAGCTGGGTGAACAGCCAGCCAGACTTCTCCACGCTCCGCTTGAGAAAAGCCTTGGTGCCAGAGTCCAGATGGCTTTGGACGAACAGGGGTTGCACTGATTCTCCGAGCAGGTCAGGACAGCACTGGTACCACTGGAGCCACAGCCAAGAAGGAAAGGGTAAAGAACGGTTAAAATTAAAGAGAGTTGAAGAACCTTTTACAGCAGGAAACCTGGATTGGATCCTCAGCACCTTGTACCTTTAAAACTACTGTTAATATGTACACATGGCATGAAAGCTGTACTTGATATATTTAGGCTATTCTACCCTTTCTTGCAGTTTTCAAAGACATGGCTATGATTGAATGTCAGTTTATTAATTTATTTATTTATTATCTGTGAGTATCTGTAGCCCTGAAACTCTTCAAATGAGCTGTCCTTTAATGGTGGTTTTACCAGGACTGCATTATGACTGGAAAAATCTGGGATTTGTTTATCAGAAGTCCATTCATCCAGGGTTCATGTTCAAATGAGACTCAACTCAACTAAAATGTGTTAAAATTACAGAAGAACTCTCAAAACAGCTAATAGACACAACTACCCGAAGGTGTTAAATAAATATTAATAATAATAAAGCCGGGCAGTGATCAACCCCTCTCTGTTTGCCAAAGTCCATTTAAAAATGAGACTAATCTAACTTCTGTAGCTTGCTAATTGGAGACGGTGCACACATATGAGTCTAGTCCTCACCTGTGCATTGACTGCGGTTAGTGTCTCAAAACGGCCCACAAGTTCATCTACAGGACTGATAATGATTCATAACGGATTCAGAATTCATACCTCTTGCGTCTCAGCCGCGGCCGCTTCGTTCTCGCTCACCATGTTCACAAACAGGGACCGGACGAGTGGACTCCGGACGTACTTCCCCGTCCACATCCTCCTGACGGAGAGCAGAAAGGCGATGTAGCCCAGCACCCACGCTACAAAAACCAGTGTCCTCAGCTGTAGATGACACATAATGACAACAACCCTGAGTAGGAAAGCGGAAGGACAGACAGCGGTTGCGGTCGCGGACAGACTGGCCAGTGGCTAGCACTGAGGGGTCCGTTAATATGAGATGATGATAAAGAAGAAGCTAATGGCAGCCAATTGTAAACCAACACGCCAGTGCATGTCTCCAGTTCCAACACAACAAACAAACCAACCTGAGGGTGCGGCGGGTTTAAGAAAGCCAGCTGCTATTTATTCGCCATCTTAGTATTGTGAATCCATTGTCTTTTATTTTCTTACAGCTGGTGTTTGCCCTGTGTGCTCTCTGCCCATTATAACAACACAATTTGACATCCGCATTGTGTGCGCTTCCTGAGTTACCGCTAAATGTGTCCGCGGAATTGTCCAAATGCTTCTCCGCTGCTTGGCGTGAACGGCAACTTCGTCGTTTGTTTATTGCCATTTATTTTGCCGAGGAGAGTAACTGGTGAAGCCGAAACATGCCCCACATTTCTCAGAAGACAGGTAGCACTTTTGTTTCACCGAAATTATTCTTTTTTTTTTATATATATATCGTGTGACATCATCGCTGTGGCCTCGTTCCATAACCTCTCAAACATCCCGCAGACTTTACATTGCGTGGGAAATGTTCAATGTTTTATAGCCCACGTGTATCGTATTCAACGAAAAACCTAACATTTAAACGATGTATTACATAATGTCTCTTCCCGGGTTGAGTGCATGGGTCAGTTGTTGCTATTAGCTTTGGTTTTGTGTTGCGCAGGCCTGTGGCAGGACGCTGTTACGGTTCGCTCTAACGTCACCCAGCGTTCTAGAGCTGATTTAAACATGACATGCCGAACTCTGTTCTGAATCCGTCAAATTAAGGCATCATTGCATTTTTGAGATATATACGACCCTTGAGATAAAACTACAGGACTGTCTACAACGGCTCTACAATTCGGCATGCATATTGAGATTAACAAGATCTATTTTAAGAAAAAGTCTGATTTGTGTCATTTGGAGGATTTTCTTCCACATTACATTGAAGGCTGTAGCAAGCTTTTGAGTTTCTACCAAACAAAAATAAATTGCTGTTGGTGATGTATCTGCCAAAATCTAATACTCATACCAAAATGACCAAATGATGCTTGACATTGGGTGTTACATTGGGTGTTAAAATATCACAATTTTGAATGTTATTTTCTACATTATCTGCACATAAAAGACTGGTCTCAGAAAGACCTCCCTCTCTTAATACTAGTGTATAGACCTTTTTCACAGCAGCCATTTTCACATGAAAGTAGGGTAAACACAGTGTTACAAACAATACCAGTTTAACCTCAGTTTCATAATTAGTATCATTGATAACACCTGTGTTTACTCTGCTATGGTAGGTTGCTGTGAAGAATTCTCCTGCTTGCCTATTTATCAAAGCTTGTTTTTCCTGGATGGTCAGTGAACTTTGCAGCCAACAGATTTTGTTTTGAAATGAGAACCAAAAATCGGGAAACAACCCGTTTTCTATTTTTTGTCTTGCAAATAAAAAACTGAAAAGGACCCATTTTCCATTTTGAAAAAGGAGCCGTTTTCTGTTCATTTCAAAACTAAAATCCTGCAAAGTACATTGACCCTGGATCACCAAGTGATTTTCTTTTCTATATTACCTGCATCACTACTCTGTAAACGACTCAGGTTTCTCATTATCTAGAGCCCCCTCTGCCCCTGTCCTGTGTGCGCCTCCTGGTCCCACCACTTCGGCTGGTCTCTGCAGCAATCTGGGAAACTGTCCAGCAGAAAGTTGTGGCCAATTACGGGCTGCTGGATGACTTTGTGACAGCAGTCACAGAGATTGTCCCGGAGCTTCTTAATCGGAGACAGAGGTGTTTGCTGAGCCTTGGCCTCCGTGTCCAGGTACTGTATGAGGAAGCAGGAATATTGAGCTATTAAGTGCAGTATTTCATTGACACTACAACTTAAAATGCTGGCTCTTCATGTAAGGCTGAAATTTGCCACAGTTAAAATTTTTTCTTGGTTTTAGCTGACACTGGAGTTGTGTCGCCCAGAGCAGACAATAGACCTTGAGACAATTCAGCCACATCTGGATATAGTCACTTCGCTATGGAACACAGAGGTACATTTATCTTTATTTCATGCACTGTGTGGTTCCAAATAATTGGCAGCCAGAACTTAATAACCTTTGCCCTTTATCACAGATAAGTGATTCAGGGGATGGATCGTCATCATCTAACCTGCTTGGTCTTATTCACACGCTAATTAAAGACCAGGAGGAGAGGCAGCACTTCTTCCAGGTCTGTATCTGTGGTTGTTTGAAGCTTTTAGATATTTGTATCTTTTCTGCTGAAAACTTTAATCAATGTTCACTGAGATCTTTCGCTTAATTTCAGGAGGTTTTCCCAGCAAGATTTGGAGACAAATACTCTAAAGATATAAAGATGCTTGTGGAAATCTTCCTCTTGCAACTTGACAAGTTACTCACTGTACCTAATCTTAAACAAGTAAGTGAAAACATTTTGAGACCTAAAAGTTATGACGTTGATCATTTTACTGGTGGAAAACTGAATTTTGTGTTATTTGGCTAACTCTACACTCCAATCGTACTAGGACTTGAGTAAAAATAGATTTTTTTTGTAGTCTGCCAGTTAGGGTAACCATATTGTGACTCCAGCTCTGTTTATAACGTAGATGACATGAGACTGATATCAATTTTCTCATTTCACTCTTGGAAAGAAAACAAGCAAGCATATTTCCCAAAACGTTCAACTATTCCATTGATATGATCTTTCTCATGAGCAGGTTGCCTGTATGCTCAGCGATGAACCTTCAGTTCTGTCCGAATGCGTGAAGTGTTTCTGTCAATCCCAGGAACTTAAATCTCTTCTGGAATATCAGAAAGATCTGAGGCAACTAAATGAAAATGGTAAGCATGCTGTACACTCATGATGGAAAACCGACATAATGATGTTACAGATTTACGGTACACTATTATATCAGTGAAGGCACCGGGCTGTTTATCTAATGGTAACTGTATGTATTTAAATTTTCAGATAACCCAACAGTTGGTGCCAGCATTCGTTCAGCTCTCTGTCTGCCACCTTTGACAACAGTCTTGACAGAACAAGAACAAACACCACTAGAAGCGAATGTGTTAACTGATTACATGGATGCATTCAACAAAGAACTGACAGTGGAGACTGCTATGCTGGGGAAAAGTGCAGATTATGTTAAGACAGAGAGTGACGAACCAAAAAGCAGAGAAGCAGAAACCAGTTTGAAGAATCAGTCCTTCAATAACAGGGAAGGAGTAGAGGATGAGATCTCATACTCTGTTCCAAATGTTGGGTCTTTGGATGGGGATAAGATGAGTGTAGACTCATGTGCCGTTGAGGTCCAGGTAGGTTATAATGTTGAAATTCCTGCTGAGGAAACTGTTACCACAGACAATAAGCCTTTTATTGAAGACTCAGCTACGGATATCAGAGAGGACAAGCAAGTTAAGGCATTAGTCAGACCCACAGATGACAGTGATTACAAAGTCATGAGCGCTAGTGAGACCAAAAACCACTCAAAAGAAGAGAGCAAGGAGGTCAGTACCAGTACAATAATTGATGAAGAAGTGAAAAACATCAATGTATCTAATGTAGTGCTGTCACCTGTACTGTATGCACCTGTTGTGATCGCATCCCAAAGACCGGTCAGACAGTATCGAGGTATGAAGATGAAAAACGCTTCAATAACGCCCAAATATGAGCAGTCAAAGAGGGGTCCTCGAGTTCCGTCAACCAGCAAGACTTGTCCCACATGTGGTAAGACATACAGTCGTGCGTCAGATATGAGAAGGCATCAGAGGACCCACACAGGAGAGCGGCCTTTCCAATGTTCGCAGTGTAAAAAATGCTTTCAGTTCCAGTACGACCTGAAGAGACACAAGTTAAATGTGTGTCGAATCACTGTGCCACAGCCTCAGAACTGGTCCTCTGAGGTACTTGAAGACAAAAACACTCAAGATCCAAAGAAGGGGGAGGTTGGTGGCCAGCTCCAAACTCTACCGTTGGCTGTTAGGACTCATGAAAAGGAATGTCTAGCCAATCAGAAACAAGCAGAGGTTCATTCTGGAAAGGTAGTCCCTCTTCCTACTGAGCAAGATCTCAAACCATTCAGCAGCAAAGTCCAGTTAGGAGACATAAAGGAGCAAAGCCCCAAACCTCATCAGGACAATCGGAGAGACAAGAAATCAAAGGGTATTAAGTCGAAAAAAACACATAAACGCAACCCTGCTGATACTTCACTGTATTGTGTGGAATGCAACAGGTCATTCCCAGACACGGCAAGACTTAAAACGCATAATCTGAGACACAAGCCTCGTCCGTGCACTAAGTGTGGTGAGAGTTTCAAAGATTTCATAGACCTCAACCAGCACTATGTTGAAGTCCATGATTTCAGGGGACCTTTTCCCTGCACCTTGTGTGAACGAACTTACACGGATCTAAGAGGTCTGATCAGGCACGAGAGGTTCCACACAGGCGAGCTCCCTTTTAAATGCCCCAAGTGCCCCAAAGCGTTCAGTTACGCATCTGCCCTAACGCTGCATGACCGAACTCATACAAAAGAGGCTCCATTCCTCTGCTGGGATTGCGGGAAGGGCTGCAAGTCCAACGCCGCCCTCAGAATCCACAGATTGTGTTGTCACAGCAGTGCCAAGGACAAGCGCTTCTGCTGTGAGCACTGCGGGAAAGCTTACGCGCTTAAAAGAAGCTTGGACCTCCACGTGGCGAAACTACACACCGGCGTGCGCTACCCGTGCTCCCACTGCGGCAAACTGTTCCGAAGTGCGAGCTCGTTGACGAGACACGATCTGACCCACACGGAGGAAAGACCATACTCGTGCAGTGAATGCGGCAAGAGTTTTAGATCGGCGTCGGAACTGAAGATACACACTCGCTATCACACCGGGGAGAGGCCATTCAAGTGTCAAGAATGTGGCAAGGGGTTTGTGCAGTCTTATTACCTCACTGCACACATGAGGATGCATACAGGGGAAAAGCCGTATAAATGTCTGACATGTGACAAATATTTTAAAACCACAGGTATATTGAAGCGGCACCAAATAACCCACACAGGAGAGAAACCCCACAAATGTTCAGTCTGTGAAATGGCCTTCAGTCGGCCAGAGCTTGTTAAAGCTCATATGAAGAAATTTCATTAAATCTGTGAAACTGGTTTGTATTATGTTTTGTTTTTTTCATAAGTAACCCAAATCTTTCACATGATCCATAAAATAAAATATTACTGGAAGAAATCTCAAATGTGCCTTTCGATTTATGGTATTGTTATGGTATTTATCAGCATTGTTTGTGTTTGTCTCTGCATTGTTAAAGGTGCAGTGTGTAACATTTAAGAGGATCTATTGGCAGAAATGGAATATAATATTCAGAGGTATGTTCTCATTAGTGTATAGTCTCATAAGTGTTTTTTCGTTTTTATCTACAAAGGGAGTGAGTCCTCTTTTACAGAGTCTGCGATGTTAGAAAAGACATACTTGCTCTATATAGGGGCTTTCCCGTGTTTTCTGGCCACCATAGTTTCTCCTGCACAATTGGAACATCCTTAAATCAATTTTTTTACAATATCAGTGTTGGGCAATAACAAATTACACATTACATGTTACAGTAATGTGATTACTTTTCAGTAATGAGAAATTTGAAGATCAGTAATCCCTGTACAGTAACAAATCCCAGTAATGTTGTTATAAGACAATTTGAGGATTGGCTTGTTTGCTTACCAGGAGTTTGATGAAGGGTAATCATTTTGGTCTGCTGGTGGTTAGTTGACAGACTGGTCCGATTTGTGTTAGCTTAACACAGGAGCTGAAGAAGCAGGGAAGCAGCTAGCCTTTACCAAAATGAAAGAGAAATGCACCACCCAATCGTCTTTTATTGACCAGGTAGTCGCTAACCATGTCTGTCTGCTGTTTGCTGCTGAGCAGGTAGTGTGGTTCAGTAGTGTTCTTTCAGTAAAAACGATGCCATGACAACAGGGAGAGTGAACCAAAACAGTAAAGTTGCAGCCGGACAGCTTCACAATGAGCTGAAACTCACTATAAAGCTCCATAAGGCTGTGGGGACTTATCACTACAGTCATTTTATGCATTGTTATTGTAAAAATATCCACTATAGCTGCTTTAATATTTAATTTAACAAAGAAAATTGAGAGTTTCAGTTCAACTTTGTGTAATGTAATGTAATGTAATGTAACTATCTGATTTCAGACTCAGGAAATTAAACTGGACGCACAACTTAGAAAATGAACAAAATCTCTGAACTCCACCTGATATTTACATTCAGAGACTACAGTTATAGAGTGACTACGGTTATAGAGTGGGATTCTTCCTTTGGTATGAGCTGGGGTTGGTATGAGACTGGGTCAGTTACATGCTCAGAGTCAAGCGCATCATACAGTATAGTCATTATTTCTCTTTTGACCCTGTTCCTCAGCACCGGGTTCCGTATCCTCTTCAGTTCCATTGCGACGGTGACGCCAAAAGAGTCCTCGCAGTCTCTCTCCGGTTGTCTGCTGGTCTCCTGAATAACATCGACCATGTGCTGCAACAACGCAACTTTCTGCCTCTCCGTGTCGTTTCTGTTTTGGGTTTTTGGCTGTTTTCTGGCGGGCTGAGGGGGGAGAGGTGACACAGAGGAACTCTCGGTGGGTGAAGGTGACGCCGCACCATCAAAGTCCTGGGACGGCGCAGTGTTCTCTGGCTCGCTGTTGCTGCTGTCCTGCTGTGTCATCAGCGCCTCTTTTATCGACTGGCCAAGCTGTAACACAGAATAGGTGTAAATATGATATGTAGAGCAGATGTGTGGGTTTTTTTAAACACCAGTTATCAGGGCTTATGTTAATGTAACACTCACATTGTCTTCAGAAGAGCGATGGCTGATATATTTTTTGAGGAATTCACAGGATTTCAGGATCCTCCTCTGCCTTAATGTCAGCGGCCTCTTCTTCTTCCCAGAACCCCGCGGTTTCACCAGTTTGGAATACTGAGTTCGTAGCGTGCTGGCCCTCGTCTTCACATCCTCAACTGCAAAGCGCCAAAAAATTTAACACGTAACATATCTTACAAAGAAAGCAGCCACCCTGACATTAAAGCTGCACTTTATTCAATAGCAATGGATTAAAGGGACGCTGTGGAGTCTTCAAATTCTGTTTACATTCGGTCACTAAAACACATGGTGTGTATCTTGGAGGTCTAACAAACGTTTAAAGCAGATTATTTGGAAATTCATTGTCATTTTATCATTGACAACCCCATTCTGTTTATTTAGTTTTAGTTGACAAAAAGTCACAGCTATTTTAGAATAGATTTAGTCACTGAAAACTGTTGACATTCTAGTCATCAGACTATACTGATACAACTGTTTTTGCATGTTTCGGGGCCACTGTACTTTCTTCCAAGAAGCAAGACGAGGAGTTCCTTTCTTTGTTTTTGTGAAAAAAGAAAACGGGGTGTGCAACCGATTTTCTGATTTGATTTCCTATCAGTCTGGACTGTTGTTGTATTAACAAGTAATCAGAAGACTTCCACCGTGTGCTTTAAGAAATGACAATGGGCATTATTCAATATTTTTAGATATTTTATAGACTAGCAGAACAATCCATGAATTAAGAAATAATCCACGTCAGCTGATTTAGAAATAATAATTAATTGCAGCTGTAAACAATATCAACAATTTATAACTATTTCTGATGAATCTTATGGCAACATTTTCCCACCACATACAAAGCAGGGGGAAGCACTTACCTGGAAGTTCCAGAGCAGTAGCGATTTCAGACCATTTCTTTTCCCTCTCGATCCTGTCGTAAAATCTGTCTCCGGTCAGGTTGTACAGACATTCATGCTGCTGCCACAGCTCTAAAAAGCGGTCCTCCTTCTCCACGGACCAGGTGGTCCTAACAGCAGCAGCATTCTCTGCAGGTGAGCGGGACCTGCCGGAATCCAGGTCCGGGGAAAAGGCTGTGTTGTCTGGCTCGCTGTCGTCGCTGTCCTGTTGTGTAGTCAGCATGTCTTTTGGGGATTGGTCGAGCTGTGACACAGATTGTGTGTAAGGTCAGACCTCTGTATAGTCAGGTCATTGGACTTTTCAAAATAATTGTCTATCAACCACACGTGAAGGCCTCACAACTTTGTTTGATATTATTTTAGTTTGATATTTTGGGGAATGCATTCTTCTTGCCATGTCTCTACACATGTATGAAGCTACTGCAGGCAGCTGGTTAGCTTAGCCCTGCATAAAGACTGGAAGCAGGGGAAACAGCTCATCTTATGCAGCTTTATACTTCTACTCCACTACATCTCAGAGGCAAATATTGTACTTTTTACTCCATTACATTTGTAAGCTTTAGAGCTGCTTCACAGCTATTTCTGATAAATTGAAGGATTAAGTGTTCCTTAATGGGTTGAAAAAGTTCTCTTAAAAAGGACCACTGTGTAAGATTTAGTGGCATTTAGTAGTGAAGATAGTTTCATTCCCACACTCTTCCCATTGAAAGAGTGCATACAATGGGGGCTGAGCCAGTTATGAAGTTTGTACAGAATAAATTCAACCTTTGTGGATTATATTGATGCCGAATTGACGAGAGGACTGTTGACAAACGATGCGCTTAAGCTTGTGTTTCTAGATCTACGTGTTATTATGGACAGATGAGGAATTGTTCAAATGTTATATTTCTTAAAGAGAGTTTGGCGCAGGAAGCTTTTAATTTCATTCCAAATGCTCATTTTTTTTAACGTTTTCTTATCACTACAGAAACACTGGGTAACTGCTAAAGACGTTAACTGCTGTTTGATTAATGGTTTAATAGTGTGTGTATTGATTACTAATACTTATTGTAGTCAGTTCCTAACGACAGTGTTCTGTAAATGGTTGACCTTTGGTGTTTTTAAACTACTTACCTATGTGTAGGATTTAGTGGCATCTAGCTGTGAAGTTGCAGATCACAACTAACTGAACACCACTCGCGTCTGTATTTGATGACCTGGGAATGAGAACGGGCTGTGTGAAGTGTGTAGGAGAAACTACGGTGGCTGTGAAACTCAAGAAAAACGCGAAAGGGCCCCTGTCTAGAGCCAGTGTTTGCTTTCTCTGCGCTACTGTAGGAACAACAGCTTTAACATAACAAGTCACTCACCAGCAGCCTGTGCAACTACTAACACTCACGTTGCTGTCAGTGGAGCGAGAGATGACATGTTTTTCTAGGAACTTCAGGGACGTGAGGATCCTCTTCTGTCTGGGTGTCAGGGCTTTATTCTTCCTCCCGCTGCGCAGAGGCTTCAGCAGTCTGGAGTACTGAGTTCGTAGAGAGACTGCCCTCACCTTCACCTCCTCCACTGCAACCAAGACCAACAACCTCTCTGTCAGTGTCCTGTTACAGCCATAAGAACCTCACACACACAGACAGACAGACAAACGCACAGACAGACACACAGACAGACAGACAGACACACAAACACACCGACAGACACACACACACACACACCGACAGACACACAAACACACCGACAGACAGACACACACAGACAGACACACAGACAGACAGACACACAGACAGACAGACACACAGACAGACACGCAGACACACAGACACACAGACAGACACACAAACACACAGACACACAGACAGACACACAAACACACAGACAGACACACAAACACACAGACAGACAGACACACAGACACACAGACACACAGACACACACACACACACACACACAGACAGACACACAGACAGACACACAGACAGACACACAAACAGACAGACAGACAGACAGACACACAAACACGCAGACAGACAGACACACAGACACACCGACAGACACACAAACACACAGACAGACACACAGACAGACAGGCACACAGACACACAAACACACAAACACACAGACACACAGACAGACAGACAGACAGACAGAAAGACACAGAGACAGACAGACAGAGAGAGACAGACAGACAGACAAACAAACAAACAAACAAAACAAACAAACAAACAAAACACACACACACACACACACACACACACACACACACACACACACACACACACACACACACACACACACACACACACACACACTCACACACACTCACACACACACACACACACACACACACACACACACACACACACTCACACACACACACTCACACACACTCACACACACTCTCACACACACACTCACACACACTCTCACACACACACACACACACACACACACACACACACACACACACACACTCTGAGGTGTGTCTATCACGCACCGGGTAGGTCCAGAGAAACGGCTATTTCCTCCCAGCACCTCTCCTTCTCGGCTTTATTGTGATAGGTATCCGAAGACACGTTGTACAGACACTCGTACTGCTGCCACCAGTCCACAAGCAAGTCCTCCATGTCCTCAGACCATTTCGTTCGAGAAGTACAAACACCGTTCACCGCCATGTTTAAAAATCCCGTTCTTCTTCTTCTTCTTCTTTTTGATTTGATTGGCGGCTGGCATCCAGCTTATAGGTGCATTGCCGCCACCTACCGGACTGGAGTGTGGTACATTAGATGACAGATAAAGAAGGAAAAGTAAATATAAAAAAAAATAATAATATAAAATAAAAACATAAAAAACAAACGAACAAAAAAAACAATAAATAAATAATAATAATATATATATATAAATTTATATTAAATCCTATCCATTAACCCTGTTTTCCTCAAGTACTTGTTCACATATCTCCTAATGCTTTCTAAGCCTTGCAACATGTTCCCTACCCTGAAGCTCACTTTTTCCTTTTGCATTGCTGCTTTAAGTTCTTTCCTCTCTTTCTCATATCCCTTGCATTCCATGAGAACATGCTGCACAGACTCAGGATGGTCACACAATCTACATTTACCAGTAGGATGTTTTCCAATTCTGTATAATGTGCTATAAAGCTCTGTGTGCCCTAACCTGAGACGGGTAATGACCGCCTCCTCCTTCCTGCCTCCTTTCCCCACCTGTTTTTGTATATTGTAAAAGTGTCTTCCTGTCTCATTTATGTCCCAATATTCCAGCCAAACTTTTTGCATTTGTGTTTTAATGATGGTCTTTCCTTCTGCTTTCCCTATTGGTATATTATTCACTGTTTGTAACCTGAGTGTTTGTTTAGCGAGTATGTCTGCATCCTCACGTGAGCAGGAACCCATATAAAACAGACTGTCCTCCCTGTGTTATAAAGGCCGTATAACATTTGATGTATTTCCATGAATAGATCTTGCCTGCATGACTTCATGGTTTTGATACTGCTAAGTGCTGCCCAACTATTACAAAAAAAAGTACAAAAATAAACAATAAACAATTCTTGCACTTTTCATAGTACATACACTTCGCAAGTGTAAAAAGAATGCCAGGTGAACATCATCCAACATTAGTGCAAGCCAACTCATAATAACAACATGCACATTAGTGCTTCAATACAATAAATTCGGAGCAATTGAAAGAAAATTTAAAAAAAACATCTCAAAATAAATAGTCAAAAATAAAATATACATAAAATAGAATAAACATTGCTTTCATATGGGGGATTCAAGTCAATTTTAACTATCCATTTCAGTGGGAAAATTCTTTAAGTTATCATATAATTTTTGTGCCTTAATTTCTGTTAGAAGTTTTAAAGATTTCATGTACAATTTAAATTCATTCATGAAGACAATAAATTTGGGTGATGACTTCATACCTCTGTTCTTGTGGATGAAAAATTTGGCTAGACAAAAGATTACATTGCAACAGAGTTCATCATTTTTGTTTTGCAAGATTATACCGAAAGTGACATCATCTCTAGAGATAACAGCTGGAAATACTATTTTTTGTTTGATCCAATTGTGAATGTTAACCCAGAATGTTTGTATTATATCACATGAGAAGAAGATATGGTCCATGGTTTCAATGTCATTTTCACAGAATGTGCATAAATTGTCACCGATATTAAAGCGTAGTCTAAGTAATTCTTTAGAAGGATAAATGTTGTTCATAATTTTAAAGTGTGTTTCTTTCATTTTGGGGGGTATAGGAAATTTTAGGTACATTGTTCTTAGTTTATCAACTGATTTATTATCAAATGTATGTAGGATATTATTTTTGTTTTGTCTACCAGGGAACAATGTTTCAGTGAGGCAGTTTCTTATAAAATGATTGTTACATTTTTTGTCCATGATTAAAATCCCCTGTATTGACAATGGGCCCAGTTGTGGTATTATAGGTTGGTGGGCCAATATATTTTTTGTTAGAAATATAAATCCACGGGGAAGTGCTTTTTGTAATTTAATAAAGTCTGATTTGGAAGGGTTGAATTTATGTTTAATGCAAAATTATTGATAATCTAAGAGATTACCATTGGCATCCATTAGTCAACCACAGACCATATATTACTCCCATACCAATCCTGATAATATAATGATTTATTTCAGTATAAAACATATCTATTATTCCAAAGCATAGTAGTGTGAGGTGAAAAGTTATGCACATATAGCATTTTCCAATATAATAGAATTTGTTTATGAAACTCTGACAATGGTATAGGTAATTTATCGATGTTGAAGTTTTCAAAAGTTTATTTTAGTGAGGTAAAACAGCTGAAAATCATATCTAACATACTGCAGCCTATTTTCAACATCTTTTATAAATAATTTTAAAAGTAGTTTCATTAATGAGGATGTAAAAAAAACCTCTGACTGTAAAACAAGGGTGGATGTTAAATGATTCAAGAGAAGTTCACTGGTACACTTTGAGTACATTTCAAAATTAGAGCTGTAACAATTAGTGGATTAACTAATCAATTTGTTATCAAGTAAAATTAATTTCTAAGTATTTTGATAGTCCGTTGTTCGTTTGGAGAATTTTTTAAGACAATTTCTGAATTCAACTTTTCAAATGTGAATATATTCTGGTTTCTTTAGTCCTCTATAACAGTAAACTGAATATGTTTGGGTTGTGGACAAAAGACATTTGAGGATATCACCATTTTCTGACCTTTCCTAGACCAAACAACTATTCCATTAGTTGAGAAAATGAATGACTTCATTGATTAATCGATAATGAAAATGTTAGCCCTAGCCCTATTTTAAATGAGTATTTAATGCACACAATATATTGAATGAACCAACTAACTCTGCTGTCATTTCTGACACTGCCACTCCCTCCTGACCTGCAGTAACCCCTGTTCCTGCCATTCCCCATCACCTGACTGCCCCACCCTTCTACTCACATATTCCCGCCTCCCCCATCAGCCCTGCTGTACAGTATACCGGCCCATTTGCACCCGTCTCCTGTCAGATCATCTCATGTGTTCCTCACTAAGCAGCTATTTTGCCTGTCTGCTTGTTACCTGCCTGCATGACTTGCTGCTGAAATCTGCGACTCATGCCTTTTTGCCTAATCCCTGCCTGCTTAAATCTGCCTTCTCCTGACTCCTGTTTTTTGACAAGTAAAATCTGTCTCTGTGTCGTGCTTTTGGGTCCAAACCTGCCTTTACTGAGTAATTTAAGTCTCATACAAACTGCAAAGAAATAGGAGGTTTTGATCTGAATTATTTTGTCATCTAATAAGTCTCTTTTATGTTAACATAGAGGTCTATTTATAGACTATAAATTGTACCAAAATCATCCTGGCAAGTTTAGAAAAAAAGAGAATGAACAAAATTCCCCTGAGCCTGGATTATAAAAAAGAAGATTATAAAATCTATATAATTCTAAACCAGATGAAAAGTTTTGTACAATAATGCCCCCTGGAGATGCTGTGTAATATTTTTTTGTCCAAATGCACAGTTTATTCAATACTTGTTGGCTTATGCATCAAAATACACAAACACAGCAATGCACAGTTTCTTATCTTTATTTATTTATATTTTTAAAGTATTTTTTGTGTGTGATTGTTGTGTGATTTGTATATTTTATGCACCACTGCACCAAGACGAATTCCTCGTATGTGTAAAAACCTACCTGGCAATAAATCTGATCCAGATTCTGAAGAGTCTTGAACTTGATGAGGACTAATGTCAATACCAGTTATAACCAGCAGATGTCGCACACAACCACAGGGTGTCCACTGAGTCTTCCACAATATCTCCAGGGGTCCTTGATGGGGCTCCATGGGGTCCCATGCAGGGAACAAGCAACTGTTTTTGTGTAATGTTGGCTAGAAGTGGTCTACATTAGAAATAATGCAGGCGACAATTACAGGTTTCATTCTCTGCTCTCAACTAAACAGTTACATTTGAGTCTCTGAAGGTAAATTAAACTAAAAGGAGGTGTCAGGGGTTGACTAATGAAAGGCCTAATTTATTTATTTATTATTTTTTTTAAAACTGAATTTGTGTTGTACTCTGTCAGCGGGATCCCGCTTAACCAGGAATATAACTATAAAGTTAGTCGGAGTTGAGAAGACTACTAGATGCTGTACTGGCACAAGTTATGTAATAGAGCCTTCAAAATAAAAACATAAATAAGTGGCGGGCAGAGCTACAGAAAGGTTGCAGCTCAGTAGTTTCACAAATTGACGGTAAAACTTCCTGTATATACAAAACTTGCTAACACTCAGCTGCAAAGCATATTCTTAACAAGTAGAAAGACAACCAAAGTTTGAATATATGTTGTTCTTTAGTTAACAAGAGCTTTACTTTGAAAGTGACTACCGGAAATTGAATACATTTGAGTCAGTCACTTGACGCTGGCTCCTCCGGCGTCTCGTGCTGTCCAGCGCTGTTCCCACAGTAACTCTCCGGTGAGTGTGTCCGCTACCACCTGCAGTTCACCGTCTACAACAGGTGAGAACAGCCCGCTCTTTCTAAACTTCTTTACTCGGGAAAAGCTAACTGAAACGACCTCAGTTTAGACAAACAATGCCGCGTTGTGGATGGAAAGACGAGTGTTTTTGGACTTTTCGTGACCGGGAGTCGAACACCTTGACAGTTGAGAGTGACAAGTTAGCAAACGAGGAGAGGCTAAACGTACGGAGGATTTAGCGTTATACGGTGAGTGGCAGGGCGGGCAAACCTTAATGGATGTGACCGAAAACACTGTCTGACTGCTTGGATTTAAAAACCAGCTCTCTTCAGGCTGGATATACCGGCTGCTGTTTCCAGACCTAATCCCAGTTCTCCAGGGGAAACTATCCCAGCGCTGTCAAAAATCTACCATTCCTGTTATGTGACTTTCTAAACTAACAGTGGCAGCTTTTAACGAACCGTTAGTGTTTTCTGGTAAATTCAGCATATAACGTTACACCATACAAAACCTTACTGAAATAAAATCTCAACTTTAGCAACTATTCCATCTCTTTCGTTAGCATCAGTCGGTGTATTTTGGTGGAAGACGTTTGAATAAATAGCATGGGAACCAGTTAGGAAACTTGAGGTGTTACTGGGATGTTACTACAGATTTATGGATTTGATGTATGCCGAATGTACAAGCAATGGCAATGAACTCTTGAATTTGCTATAATTGGTATAAAGTTTTGCGTATAAGCAAGGTGGGATTAAATTGACAGAATTGAGACAGGAGTTTGGTCTGAAATTGTCTGCATGTGGTTGTGATGAGAGTTTACAAAGAAATAAGTGCTTCAAAACATACTATCAAGCTTTTTAACAATTATGAAGACTTGAAATCCTATTTTTAAGAAATCAGAACACTTACAGTAAATTGAGATGCTTTTGCTCTCATTATTGTGAATATTTTACAACAGAACATGAGGCTGAGGGGTTCATCATTGGCTTCCTTACATGTGCGCCACCTGCCACTCAAGATTTCATAAGAAACTCACCCATAGTCACCAAACTCCATTTAACTACTGCTCTATCCACTGACATTTAGGCTAACAAGTCCATTTCAGACTCCTTGTTTACATTCTGGCTCGTGTCAGTGAGGGGCTAGGCAGTTGTTTACTGCCTGGCAAGGTGCCTGGCTAGTTTTAGATCATGTGTCAGTGCTCAGATATGCATTGGCATTTGCTGCTGGGCTACCCTGCTGCATGATCACCTAGTAGTCCGGAGGAATAACCAAACTGTCAGTCTAACAGCCCCGAATAAGCTGGCAGACAGTTTTTGACTTGATAAGTGTACCCAGGATACAGCATCGCAGGGCTGCACAATGTGGGGGAAAAACATATTGTGATTATTTTGACAGATATTGTGATATGATTCATGATTAGTTGGAATGATTATTTTTGCGTCACAAGTTCCACTGAAAGTTTCATTTTCACTGTTTACTTACATCTGGAGAAGAAGCTTTTTATGCCAGACAATCTCTGCAGCACTACAGTACTTAATTATAATGCTGTTTGTCACATATTTGACCTTTTATCTAACAAATTGCAGCTTCTGCGATTTGCATATTCCGCCCTATTGTGATTTCGATAATATTTTGATAAAATGTGCAGCCCTACATAGACTATGAATTCAGACTGAGCCACAGACAGAGGCCTGCTGCTGCTGAAACACGTTGTTTGCTTGAGTGGGTCTGTTGGGATGTCCAGCAGAATAAAACTGCTCCTGAGGTCTGCAGGTGATGTTTTTAAATCTCAGAACGTCTGGGGACTGCTTAATTTCTCCATTGCTAGCAGAGTAAGTACTCACTAAGAGACAAGATAATAGTACAAACAGAGCACTATTTCCTCCCAGATTGCCTCTCCGCTTCATTGGGAGTCCTAACATAGAATGGACTCTTGTTCTAATTGGCACACTGAAACCTTAGTGTTTGATGTTGCCTCAGTAGTGGAAACCAGGGGACTGCATTTATCCAGGTTATTTTGTGTCCCTCTAGTGTTGTTTCTTCACTTGCTGTCCCACGTGATTGAGATTTCAGGCAATTAGCTTTTAAAGCGGCGGCCGCTGCCCTGCCTCGCTTTCCTTCTTGGAGAGAAAAATAACAAACGTTTTCCAAAAACATAAGCTGGAAGAACGCCAGACTGAAGAATGCTTCCTAGAAGTTCAGGGGGAGTGTTATCAATGGTCGGAGACCTTATTCCTGCACGGGAAGGGTAGCAGATTAGCTGCACGCTCCTGAGGGACGGGGCTTCCTGGATCTGAGAAAACAAACAGAAGTTGGGTCAAGTTAGAGTCACATGCTTAATCCTGACAGCATTCATCTGTCAGAAAGGGTTGCGTTGATTGCTAACACTTTACCTTGGCACTCATGCTGTTGAATGGGGCTACTGGCACAAAATTATTGACATAGTTGTCATTTATCAAGTCAAAATGACAAACATTTACTGGTTTCAGGTTTTTAACTGTTCATCAGTGTAAATTGAATCAGATTTTAGACTGTATGTCGGACGAAGTAAGACATTTCAGCGTGTCATCATTGGTTGTTGACATTTTATGCATTAAAGGGGCGGCTGTGGCTCAGAGGCAGAGCGGGTCGTCCCCTAATTGGAAGGTTGTTGGTTCAATCCCCGGCTCCTCCTGCCACATGTCGAAGTATCCTTGAGCAAGATACTGAACCCCGAATTGCTACCGATGCTGTGCATTGGTGTGTGAATGTGTATGAATTAGTTAGTTTCTGTTCAATGGGCTTTGCCATCACTGAGTGAATGTGGCATGTAGAGTAAAAGCGTGGTTGGAATACTATACAAGTACAGGTCCATTTACCATTTAAAGCATTGATTCCCAACCTTTTTCCTTAAGGGAGCCCTTTTCTGTCATTGAGTAAAGTGACTGGGTGACATATTTTATGGATATTTCATATTCTATTCAATGCATAACAATAACTGTACAACAAACTCAAACAGTGAACACAATAACTGCAGGAAGATTGTGTAAAACCATTTTGATAAAGTTTGAGCAGATTATTATGTCCAAGATGAGCTCTCTTTTTTGGTCAATAAACTTTCTGAATATAGCTTGTGCTCAGGTCTTTAAAATTTAGATCATAAATAATAATTAAAACAATAAAAATAACATTTTATTTAGTTTTCTTCTCAAAAATGAACAAAATATGCTCATAATTGTGTAAATGTTTTCTTACAACTCTTAAAATCAAGAAGGCATTGCGACCCACTGTGAATCTTTCCCGACCCCCAGGTTGGGAACCACTGCATTTAACTATCTATTTATCAGAAAAAGCAATTGACAGTCAATAATAACAAAACTTAGGCCTAGCAAAATGAGAACCACTCATAAAAGACAATCCTCCTCTGGTAAACTCCACAGGTTGCCTCCAAATTAGTTTATTTGAAGAATTGACATTTTACAATTAAATAACCAACCTGTCAGTGCTTTCTGATGTGTATGCTGCTATGTAATGGAGAAACAGTTTCTGAAATACATCAAATATGACTGTAACATGCATGTGCAGCAGCTGTTATTTATTGGCCCACGTATGTGCAATGCGATACATCTCGGTGAAATAAGCTAAGGCAAATTTATTGGTCAGGGTCTATAGGCCTTTTTCACTGGAGACATTCTGACATGTCACAGGAGGAAAAGCAGAGGTGTAAATAGTGAAATGAAGGATGGCTGAATTCCATTTAGCTGCTTCAGTTTCAGGGTCCTGAAAGATGAATTGATAATGATATAACTGTTAGTTGCAGCCCTAATGGTAGTGTTAGAAAGAGGCTACTCTTTCCATTGAATGTATTTTGTAAATGATCATAGACTTGAACTGATTTCTCTCTCTTTCTTTCTCTAGCATTCCCTTTGCAGTGTAATGGCAGGTTGGGCAGCTGCTGCCTCCTTGCAGCCGACTAAACCTCTACAAGTCTTACTGTGAGATCTGAGATCACTGTCAAACAGCCGGGCACCCATCAGAGATAATGGACCCAAACTGTGTGAGGAAGAAGACCTCCTGGACCAGTTGACCTCAGGCTCTATTCACAACAACGTCATCTCATGGCTGGGATTCAGCAGCTACCTGTTATCTGTCTGATAAATGTTTGCTGAACTGTTCCCCTGAAGGAGCTCTGAAAATACCAAAAAAAAAAAAGACCTTGGCTGTCGACCACGAGCAGTTTGTGTGTCTGTGGTTTGGTCTGTAATTATGGGGAAAGAACAGGATCTGCTGGTGGCAGTGAAGAGTGGAGATCTTCTGCTGGCCCACAAACTTCTCTCTAAAGTCAAGTGCAACAAAACCAGTGAGTATGGAGCCGACAGTTTTGTGTTTTTTTACTAAGCAATTTATTTATTGTTTTCTGTGCTCTGGGCCTGGGACTGTAATCGTTTCCACTCTGGAGTAGAACTTAGATAGCAGAGCCAGAGCTGTTACTGTGGATGGTGTTGCTGTTATACTTCTAAACCAAGTCGAGTTTCCTCACGATCACCACAGGATCAGGTTCAGCTGTCAACCACAAAAACACAGCCCCCTCTGGCAGTCAGGTCAGGGCCAATTTGAAACTAAGTGGATTCAAACTGCGGCACAACCAGAGCTAATCTCCTAAATGCAGACCCCTGCAGCTTGTGCGCCTTTCTGTGTGGGTCGTACGTGGCTTTTTTCTTTCAGAGTTTCTTATCTGTGTAGATTTCAAGCCAGGCGACAAGCGAGCTCGCTTTACAGGAGCATTGTTGTAAAATGACAGGGTTCTCCCTTATCCAAGCCCGGGGAAAGTTAAGGCCAAGCAGGCTGTGAAGTTGAAGCCTCTCTTTGTGGCGTTATCTGTTCTGGGCTTTCATCAGTATGGCTGGCTGCTCAGTGACAAGCTCTGGGAACAGAGCTGTGGCTGTCAGGAAAAAGCCTGTTACACACTTTACACACTACACAGACAGCGAGCACTGCTTGGCAGAGAATATTAAAAGTGATATTGTCTGTTTTTGTACTGCTGTGTGCTTCTGTTTTTTGAACAGCCAAAGACTGCCAATCAGGCTGGGAAAAGGGAATGAATAATGCTCTCTGCTGTTTTATAAACTACCACCAAGGTGCCCTTGAGCAAGGCATTCCATCTATTTTGGAAGAGTGGCTCAGTAGACAAATACAAAAAAACAACTATACTGGCCAGCTCCCAGTTAATATGGAAGATAAGAAATGGCTTATTCATTAATTGATAGTTTAATAAAATAAATAGATGCCTAAATATAGGAAAAATTAAATAAACATTTGAATAAATACATGAAAGAATAAATACAGACATGAAAGTTAAACGAATAAATAATAGCTTTCTCTACTAGTTAGAAAAGGCAAAAGAAGTTCAAATGTGCTAGCTAGTGAAAGAAAGTCCTGCAGGGATGACATCTTTTTGAGGCCAAGCCAGAAGTTAGCATCACCCTGGTTCCTTCAACAAAAGGCAGATGGGATTTTTCCATTTGATTTTGGGTTATTTAAAAAAGCTCCAAGGTGAACAAATGTTTATGATACTTACACATTTTGTTCAGCAAGATAATCTTCACTAAATAAACTCCACTTTTATGAGTTTTAGTGTAAATGTGATCGCCAGAAGAAAAAAGCTAACATTAGGCTATAAATGTACCACAACATGTCACATGACTTCAACAATACCAAGTCTTGTTGAAGTAGGAGTGGAAATAGAAATACTGAAAGAAGCTGATGTAGCAGTTAAATGGAAGTGTCAGCTGAAGTGTAAGCACTGAATGAAGTACTAGTTTAAATGAAAGTGCTGAAAGGAGTTCAATTCAGTAGAAGTTAAAGCATTGAAAGGAGTTGAAATGTCAGATGAAGTACTATTAATAAATTGAGTCCTGAAATAAATTCGTGCCAATTCAAGTGTATAAAATGAAAGACAATGTCAGTTAATGGTTGGCTGAAGTGTAAGCACTGAAAGCAGTTGAAGTAGATTGTGTACATAACCTCACTCAAAAGCAGGATCGGTCAGCATATTATATTTATGCTTGTATTTATAAATATTTTTGTAATTATTTATGGGGTGTCAGTTTACTTGCTCAGTTGATTTTCCTGAGTTAAATAAAGGTTGCACCTTCACCAGGCAAACACAGTAGCTGAGATGTATACTCTATGTCTTAATGGCTCTTTGTCTTTTTAGCACCTGTACCCAAAGAGCATTGGACAAAAATGTGTGCTTGGAAAGGTTGAATTGTTGCACAAATGTTCTCTTTTAATTCCCCTCTGTCATACTAACTCCCACATGCATGCACATGCCGCTTTCAATGCTGCTGATCCTCGAGGACTCTCACAGGACGTTGTCAATGGTATAGTCATTTGTCACTTCAGTCAGAGTCTGCAGTGTCTGACAGCAGCCCAACAGATGCTGTGGCTGGCAGTGAGGTCTCTGCACATGACCTCCACTGTCTCCCATTTACAGAACGGCCCTGTCAGTAGGGGCTGATTGATTGGTTAGTGGTTAGTGACCTGCTTTGAATGGTTTTTAAAACCAGCCACCCCAAAAATAGGGTTGTGCAATCTACAACTGGCAGGTTATTTATTTTACTTACCTATTCATTTAAATTCTGACGGTTGAATTGTTTCATAAACTTTAAATCACAGTTAAATTAAAAAACATCTTTGCACTTTTACTAACGCAAAAATAATTCTTGCTTGTTTATGTTGCAGACTCAATATTATTTGTCCTTCCTAGGAAGCAGAAATAAATATTCAATAGAATATAGAGTGCCACAACACTGAGAGTTGGAAGAATATGTGAAAATCAAAACTATCGCCATTGTTCTATATGTAACACCAAGACTATGAGTTTACAGTCACACTAGCTCTGTGAGGCTGTATTTAGGCACAGTGGTGGTTTGAGCCAAATGCTAATGTCAGAATGCTAACACATTCATAACACATTCATGCTCATATTCAGCAGGTAATGTTTACCATTTTCCTCTTTGTGTAAGGTGTAAGCGTACTAGTATCTGCTAATCAGCTCTAAAAACAAAGTAAAGTTGAGGCTGATGGGATTATTAATGATCTTCTTCAGGCCTCTGGTCATAAACCAAAGTATTGATCAAGTGATAGTGGAACTGTTGCGCTGCTTTGTGCTTGAGTGACATTATGATAACAAACACAACTTATCCATAAGTGCAAAGCCTCGGGAGAGGTCAGGTGCTTTTTAAGCTGTTATTGTGGTGTCAGGCTGACATGCTGGACATACCCAAGGTTCCAGGCTAAGCCTCGGGCCGGGGCTGAGTGCGCATGGAGGAGGGAGGCACCTGCGCCTGAACTCTGTAGCTGGAGGGAGTGGTGGGGGGACTCGGGGGTCAGGGAGGGACCAAACATGCGGTGGTCAGACAAAAACACTAAGTATTAGTAGAGGGTGTGCTGTCAGCTGGTCTGCATGGATGTACGGGACTGAGCTGCGTGTGTGTCCTCATGTTGTGGGTTGTTGGGGAGTGTGACAACTATGTGATACAAAACGGACACACCAGGTGTAGGATAACACAACAGGACCTCACATGTAGTGCAGTACAACATTGGTGCATGCATATAGTATTTATTCAGAGCAACGGTCCAACATCCAGTATTTGTCTGGTTTGTAACTGTGCTTGAGGCTGCTTCCTGTTCCATCCTTTTGTTTATTTTATTTATTTGTTTTATATTTCAGATGGCTGATTAAAGATTTATCCCAGTGTGGCGTGGAGAGGCAGTAGTCTCTAAAGCCTTAAATGCCATGTTTTATTTCTATATTCACGATTTAACTGAATGGTATTTCTGCAAAGGAACTCTTCACAAAACTAAAGCATCTTAGAGTTTCTCTTAGCACTGAGTTTTAACCCTACTGACTCAATATTTTGCTGCAGTAAATTGCAAAGATCTGTTGCTGAGACTAGTGCTTAGTAGATTAATTGACTAGTTGATCGACAGAAGTAAAAATACCAAAAAGTTCTCTGATTTCAGGTTCTTGTGCTGATTTTCTCTGTTTTATATCATGGTAATTGAATATTTTTAGTTTTTGGAGATGGTTGAACAAAATAAGTATTTAGAAGATACTGCCTCATGTCTCATACTAAGCCATTGCTTTTCAATACTATCAGTAAGTTACCTAATCTTTACAATCCTACAAATGAGGTGGTTACACAAAAGGAATGTGCAAACTACATTTTAGTACTAATTAGTCAAAACCACCCAATTGCGTTTGTGTGCCCCCCCCATGCCTTTGTAAGCAGGAAGTTATTGTGGGAATTGTTATAGGTAATAATAGATGAATTCCCATAGAGCGGCTGTCTTTCAGAATTTTATTGCAATAATCAGAATTACGTTCGCAAATGGAGCTCAAAGCTGAGAGATACTGTGGCGAATTTCATCACTCGTACAGTCTGACAGAGCATTTCGTCACCCCCAGAGAATAACAATTGACCTTTTAATAGATACACAGTTGCTCCTTGTTTGTTCATAGCTCGGTCTTTCCTCCCCAGGAGAGGTGTCCACCTCTGTCTGCTGAGAAACAGTTAAAGACACAGCTTCTCCCTTGGTAACACTTTGCAACTGTTGGGAACCGGCTGTTGAACACCTTCACACGCGTAACAGAAAAGACAAAGTATCACCCTGCGTGCTTAGCCAAAAGGCAGTGTAACACAAGACAGTGCTCATAATCATTAAACAATAAGAGTTTAAATTTCTATTACAATGGATTAAGTGAGTTATTCTGTGGGCTACCACCCTGAGCCACACAAAATGGCAACATTAAAAAATTCCTATCACTGGATTACTGTGATACTTTAATAAACTTTGTTTAATAAAACTGTGATAAACTTAAAATTGTAAAGATTCTCAAGCAAATTCTGGAGTTATAAGGAGTGTCCTTTTTCTGTGATTTCTAAGCGGAATAATGGACGTTTTGAACATTTAATGGACGCATCAGGTGCTAGGGGTATTACAGTACCTTAATTGCCTCCATGAGCTATGTTTCATAGCTACTGCTGCTGCTGCAACTATTGACTATGTTAGTAATCGGGCCAAATCAGCAGCCAAACTTCAATATGCACCTGTCACATCATGCTGTTTTGGAATGACATCAGAACGATGGAAAGTCTGAATATCATCACAAAATATTAGCCTTTGCTAACATGTCATAATAAAAGCAGCATCAGCCTTTAAATAGCATTGTTTGTGTTATGGCAGCAGTGGCTGTTGTGATGCTGGGTAAGGGGACCTGCTGGTAGAGCTGGCTGGGAGGTGGCAGAGGAGACTTGCTGTGTCCCGAGGGGATTAGCAGTGGCACTGAGGCCG